TTTCCAAGTTATTTATTGTTTTTCTTGCTTTTATTTTTCCACACCTCAGATTGGAAATAATCAGTGGCGGAGCCAGCCCAAAAATTTAGGTAGTGTCAGAAAATTTCACATATTAAATTATAAGGAAAATTTTTTACTATGAATTCTAGCATAATTATCAAAATTATTTACTAAATAATATCACATAACATTGAAAATTCAAATGAACAATTATCATTGATTATATATCAAATCAAATATATAAAAATGCACTAACATTTTCGATAAGCATTTCAAACATAAGAATTTCACTTTACTCACACAACATAATAAATAACAAACCAAACATTGTCCTAAGGATATCAAAACACACAAATATAATAATTATATATATAATAAGCATTGTCTTTCGTCTCCTCTCTCATTATCTCCATTCCTTAAATTTTCAATATCTCTCGTCAGAGAACATCACCCTTGTTTTCAAGAGCCATAAGCACAAAGGGAAGTTCTCACATTTGGGAATTAAGTTTTTGACTATTCTTTGTGTTTCCAATAACCCAAAGCACAATAGTTTAATGGACCTTCATATTCCATAACTATAGACCTGTTATTCATTTGGTTTCATGATTGTTACTTTCAAGGGTTAAATGTGTATCCTTTTAAATGACACAAATTGTGTCCTTTTAGTTTTTAACACTATGTTTATACCGTTAAGATATAGTTATAACATAAAAAGCTATTTCCATGAAAAGTTATTTTCTCTCTCTACACGTCAGCTGAAGTGACTGTGGACAAAGAAAAAGAAAAACAATTTTTTCATATTATAACTATGTCTTACCATTAAAAGATAGTGTCAAAAACTAAAAGGACACAAGGTTCTGTCCTTTAAAAGGACAAACCATTTTCCCTACTTTTAAGGGGTTTATTTGGTTTAGTTGAGCCCAAATTTTGAAATAGGTCAACTAATCATTTTTTTGATTAAGTTTAGAAGTCTTTCTTTATTAAAATAATAGGAATAAGAATAAATAACATAACTAATTAAAATAAAGCGAAAAAAACAAAAAAAAATAAAAGAAGGTGAAACACAAAAATAACAACTGTACATGTTATTTATTATTTGTTTGCATTTAGATAGTTTGTTGTTACTTTGTATTGAGAATTTAATTTTCTATTTAGGTGGTGCCAAATTATAATTTTAACTTTGATTATTTATAATTAATTATGTAATATATATAATAAGTAAACAAAAAATTAAAACAAGCAGGTGCCAAGGCACCTGCTGGAGCATGTGTGGCTACGCCACTGGAAATAATGCCTCATCAAATTGACAATCAGCAAAGTGTGCTGTAAAACTATCACAATTTAATGGATTCGTGGCCTCATCTTTGTTCTTTGTGGTGGGACGATTGGAACATAAACAACACAACCAAAATTTGTTAGATAAGACAAGTTTGGTTCTAAACCAGAAACAAGTTGTGATGGAGAATATTTACTCATTATGGTGGGGCGATTGGAACATAAACAACATAACCAAAAAAAAATTAGACGAGACAAGTTTAGTTCTAAACCAGAAACAAGTTGTAATGGGAATATTTACTCATTGTGGTTGGTCATCCAGTCTAAACAAATCAAATATGGTTGTAATAATACTTGTTATAAATGTTTGGTCATGCCACATCTATAATAAGCATTATTGTGCTCGCGTCCACGAGATGATGTCACATTCACTTATGGGAATGTCGATATTGCATTCACTTAAGGGAACACCATAGAACTCGTGGGGAGTGATTGATGATTTGTCGTCAAAAGCTCATTGTTTTGTCCAGCGTCCACGGTTATGAGATGATGTCACATTCACTTTTGGGAATGTCGATATTGCATTCACTTCCGGGAATGCCATAGAACTCGTGGGCCGTGATTGATGATTTGTCATCAAAAGCTCATTATTTTGTCCAGCAACGAGAAAACAAGGTATTAACTTAGAATATTTCGTGAACTCTCTATATTGTTGCTGCAGGAGTATTTTCGAGGCATAAAAAGTAGAGAATGTCTTCTCTAACATATCCTCATCAGTAATCTCTTCTTCGCATAATTTTAATTTATAAGTAATGCAAAACATTGCAGAATTATACTTACTTACACTTTTAAAATCTTAGTAATCGTAAGTAAATTCACTTACAGTGGGTTTTTGACAAAATTACTTAGTTTTTGGTGGTCATACCTTTCCTTTAAATTTTGTGACAATTCTAATGGATCTTTTGCTGTTAAATATTCAACTTTAAGATCTTCATGGAGATGATGGCGGAGAAAACCTCCTTCTGGGAGGCCTCATTTCCTTTCTTAATTGTTTTTCCAAGGTTTCATGGAGACGATGGCGGAGAAAAATCATTGCACGCTCCTACTGGGAGGCCTCATTTCCTCCCTTATTGTTTCTCCAAGGTTGTTTGCAGTAATATGGATTTCAGCATCAATAATTCATGGAAGATAGTTCTTGCCGATATATCCAGAGCAATGAATTCAAGTTTAGTAAGGCTTGCCAATATAATTTCTATCAATAATATATATTAGTTCATAGACAAGTAATCAAACAGAATACAAAAACAAAAATATAACTTCGAAAGATGAAATACCTATAAGTAGAGATCTAGCCTTGATGAGTTGATTTGTAGAGACAAACTAGTGTTTATAAAGTGTTATAAAACTAAAAGAGAAAGTGCAGAAATGTTATACAAGTTAGATAGAAAATAGAAAATATGAAATAAAGAGAGAGTAAGAGATTACCGTCAATTCTTATTATTAACTTTTTCAGAGAATACATGCCTTTATATAAGACTCTAAAAATGAATATAAAACTAATTACACATCAATGCATCATTATGCTTATATGATTACATTTCACACCAAAAGGTCATGAAAGCAAAAGGTCACACAAAAGGTTATGGCAAGCAAAAAGTCACAATATTCTTGGCTCTCAATAGTCATGTTTTACAAAAATAAATTATATATTACCTACCAAATAGGCAATTCGATAATTTATTTAAATTTTGTTTTAAGTTAAACTCAAATTAAACGGACGGAAAAAACCGAATTCTTTTTCTTATTCAATCTCAGTAACTTAAAATAGGTCTGTCTATTAATACTTATTTGTATGTATGTAAAAAAATATTAAGCACGAGATCCCAAAATGTAAAAATAAAAAATAAAATTAGAGGAGGGAGGGGCAGTGAAATGAAAGTGTCGGGCGATGACACTTGACAGTACCTGGCCATTCATGTCGACGCCTCTTCGCGAGCGTTTCGTTTCGCAGGCTCAAAACCATCGTCCATATCCCGCATTATCGGCTTTTTGACCTTAGTAGTGTCATTTTCATAAGGTTTTACCGGAATAATTTCTTGGTCAAACATATTACTTATATAATGCATAACGACGCGGTACTGTGAGAAACACTTTAGGACGTGACACTTTAGCAACCGCGTCCTTTGCATTTGTTCCTGACCACTGAAACGTGATACCCTGGCAATCATGTCCTATTCCTAAGACCTGGAACGTGATACCCTGACAATCACGTCCTATTCCCAAGACACGGTACCCTCTCAGCCACATGTCAGTGGGTCTCATCCCAAAAAAAATTCAACGGGAAGCGGTAGTGTATAAGCCGCGTTCCAGGTTACAAGTCAAGTCGGAGTCAAGCACCTAAAATTTAGACATACTGATATATTCACGGTAAAAGAGTTCAAAAAATCCAATAAAAGCAACAAGTCATTTTCGTACAAAATGGTTTTTATAGTTGCTACCAATTTATTCTTTACTGGTTAGAAGACTAACTATTAAACCAGAGAATAATTAATTTAGAAATTTACTAACTAATTATAATTTTAAGGTGTTGGATGAAGGTCTTTATAATAGTTTATATTATTCACTTTCACACTCACTTATACAAAAGCCCTTTGGGCTTTTAGTATGAATTTTGCATAGATTCTATTTTTTTTTTTTGTTTACCTTAATATAAATCATTAAAATTTTTAGATTAAATTGTTTCTTTCACATATTGAAAATCGGGAAAGCAGACCAAACACGAAACAAGGGTATAAGATTGGGTACTATTGGATTTATTAGGTTTTATGTACTCTTTTACAATGAATATATCAATATGCCTAAATTTTAGGTGAAACATATATATCTGTTTGGCTTTGACTTGACTTGTAACCTGGAACGCGGCTTATACACTACCGCTTTTTGTTGAATTCTTTTTGGGATGGGACCCACTGACATGTGGCTGAGAGTGTACCGCGTCTTGGGAATAGGACGTGATTGTCAGGGTATCACGTTCCAGTAGTCTTGGGAATAGGACGTGATTGCCAGGGTATCACGTTCCAGTGGTCAAGAACAAATGCAAAGGACGCGGTTGCTAAAGTGTCACGTCCTAAAGTGATTCCTACAGTACCACGTCGTTATGCATTATATAGGTAATATGTTTGACCAAGAAATTATTTCGGGAAAACTTTATGAAAATGACACTACTAAGGTCAAAAAGCCCGCATTATCATAGGAGCCATTTAATTTAACCATCTCAATCCAATCCGTACATGAATGTAATTATGTAAGTCTTCCCTCACCGACGCTTGTCAGTTGTCACTTTCATAATTTCATATCGCATTCCCCTGTGTCGTTTCCATATCTCATTCCATTTCAAAAAATGTTCACGAACCTGCGTGCCCGTGACTAAATTACTATTAAAATACCGATTCTGTTACACTGTCTAGAGACTAGAGACTAGAGACTAGAGACTAGAGAGAATGCAGTAATGGCCATATCATCACTATCTCCCTCAAAATCAAAACCAACTGACAACAACCCCGTGAACCGTTTCTTATCTCACGGTCACGAGAACACGAGGCACCAATAACCAAAAACAAATAAAAAATATCACAAATCAAATTTGGAATAACCAAAAATACTCAACACCTCCCTCCCACTTATAAAATCAGCATAGCATGACCCATCAACTTACTTAACCCATTCTCAAAAGATCTATCTTCCTAACCATGGCTTCTTTCCCCTCTCTCTCCTTCCTCTCTCTCTTCCTCTTCCTCACCCTCTCCTCCGCCAACCGCCGCCACCATTCCCCTTCCCCAAAGCCGCCCTCCCACCCCACCACCACCGCCACGCCGGAGATCCAGCAAGCCTGCAAGGCAACCCGCTTCCCCCAGCAATGCGAATCCTCTCTGACCGATTCCACCCACCTCCCTCCCAACCCCACCCCCATCCAACTCCTCCAATCCGCCATCGCCGTCCCCTCCAACAACCTCGTCACCGCCCAATCCATGGTCAAGTCAATCCTCGACTCCTCCGCCTCAAGCCGCAACCGCACCGTCGCCGCCACCACCTGCATCGAGGTCCTCACCAACTCCCAGCACCGCATTTCCCTCGCCAACGACGCCCTGCCACGTGGCAGGACCAAGGACGCCCGTGCGTGGCTGAGCGCCGCCCTCGCCTACCAGTACGATTGCCGGAACGGCCTCATGTACGCCAACGACACCCGCGCCGTCGGCGAAACGATGACGTTCCTCGACTCCCTCGCCGTTCTCTCCAGCAACGCGCTCAGCATGGCGTTCTCCTACGACGTCTTCGGAAACGACACCGCCTCGTGGAAACCCCCGCAGACGGAGCGGGACGGGTTCTGGGAAAACTCCGAGTCGGCAACCGGTTCGGGACCCAATTCCGCCGGAGGGATCCCGACGAAGTCGGCGCCGGACGTTACGGTGTGCAAGGGAGGAGGAAACGGATGTTACAAGACGGTGCAGGAGGCGGTTAACGCGGCGCCAGATAACGACGGTGGAGCAGCGAAGAGGTTCGTGATATACATAAAAGAAGGAGTTTATGAAGAAACCGTTAGGGTTCCGTTAGAAAAGAGAAATGTAGTGTTCTTAGGTGACGGAATGGGAAAAACGGTCATCACCGGGTCGGCAAACGTGGGCCAACCCGGAATGTCAACCTACAATTCTGCCACAGTTGGTAATAAGTGTTTTTATTTTTATTTTGTTCTTTTTTAATTAATCATACATTTAGAATAATAATAATTATAATAATAATGGTTGCAGCGGTTCTTGGTGATGGATTCATGGCTAAGGATCTCACAATTGAAAACAGAGCAGGTCCTGATGTGCACCAAGCTGTGGCTTTTAGATCAGACAGTGATCTATCTGTGATTGAGAATTGTGAATTCTTAGGGAATCAAGATACTCTTTATGCTCATTCACTACGCCAATTTTACAAATCATGCCGAATTGTGGGGAATGTGGATTTCATCTTTGGGAACTCTGCTACAATTTTTCAAGATTGTCAAATTATGGTTCGTCCCAGACAAGTGAAACCAGAGAAGGGAGAGAACAATGCCATAACGGCGCATGGCAGGACTGACCCTGCACAGGCTACGGGCTTTGTTTTCCAGAATTGCTTGATTAATGGCACTGAGGATTATATGGCTTTGTATCGAAGCAAGCCTCAGGTGCACAAGAACTACTTGGGTAGGCCATGGAAGGAGTATTCTAGAACAGTTTTCATTCATTCAATATTGGAAGCACTTGTCACACCTCAGGGTTGGATGCCATGGAGTGGTGATTTTGCGCTCAAGACACTTTATTATGGGGAATTTGAGAATTCGGGACCTGGTTCTGATTTGTCTCAGAGGGTACCATGGAGTAGCAAGATCCCCGCTGACCATGTGCTCGCCTATTCAGCTCAGAATTTCATTCAAGGGGGTGATCGGATTCCATCATCTCAGTCATTAGGCCATCGTCGTACGAAAATTCACAGGCATCATTAAATGGGGGAGTTCTATTCACCACCCCCTTTGTAAATGACTAGAGTTATTAATTATAAGGGAAATGATAGCCCACCCTTAGAATTTAGTGTTAATTTTTTTTTAACCTATATAGTACTATATCATGTAACATGAGATTAGTAGAATCCTAATTATAATGCAATAAACAATTAAGAAATTCCAAATCATATTATGGGGTTTTACCCCCCCCCCCCCCCCCCCCACTCACTTTATTGGAATGCTCTCTGTTATTATTATTATTATCATTATTATAGCAAGTGGTTATTCACACGAGCATGACCTGATCAAGTAAAACTAGTATATTTCTACATCGCTTTCCGGTCCAATGAAACTAAGAAAACAAGACACGGGGAAAAACCATCATGGGCACCACGATTCTCTGAAAAAACATTGTTGTTTTAAATTTATAGAGCTGTTGCGTGGACAAAACTTCTCACCTTTCTTCCATGACACAACTTGCACGGTAAAAAGGGAAAGGTTTTCTTATATATATGTAAAGTAAATTTGCCATCATATGAAAGTTGGGAGTGGCCAATTTTATTCAAACAAGTTAATGGCTTCTACAAATGGCACCTGTTCGCCTCCGCTTGAGCTTTGCCAAAACGGTTATTTAGTGGTTAATGTGTCGCATTCCTTTCAATAAATAATCGGTGTTCCCACCGAGACATTGATGGGGAAGTTGAAAGCGCTTGCACGTTAATGAGACATGAAACTGAGCTCAGCCAGTGTGAGGAGCACTCGGGGAATTTGATAAAGAAACGAAACGACTTTGATTATACATTATGGCAGCAAATTATTAAATTGAATTTTTAACCGCGGATGCAAGTATGGTCCGTTACGTTGAGTGACCAACCACATTTTGTACCTACCACCAACTTTCACATGCAGTTCCTAACCATTCATTGACATTAAGTAATTACATTATATTACAAAAGAAAGATATAGATAGGTCGCTCGGTGCCTCCTAGTAAATTTTGTCACATTACTTTGGTTTAATTCTAAAATAAATAAATAAATAAAACAATTCATCTTGGCTATAACATTAGTTTCAACTAAATTTACATGCTGATAGATATAGTGGGCTCATTTTTTTAGTTGTTTGGCTAGGCACTATCATAATCCATTAACAATATGTTTCTCTGGTCTTTGAAATTGGCGCCACCCATAATAGGATAGAAAATAATCCACTCACGGTGAATCAGTGGTCTATCCACTACCTGCTTCAGGATTAGGAAGCAATAGGGTACCCACTTAGTTACTAAACAAATGCTCTTATTCCAGGACAGGTCAATACAATAATGACCACGTTTGTTGGGTTCCATGTGTGATCGGAATATTGTGGCTTATAATCACGCACGCATGGGGTAGTTTTTTTCACTCTTCAGGGAACCACCTTCCAATGTTGAACTTTCCCGTAAGCTTGATTGTCAAAGAGTGGTTCTGCAAAATCGCATATAGTTGAATAATATGTGTGTTAGTTCAACCTGCTATTGGTATGTCCCCTACCTTGTGTTTCGTGACCTTAATCCAATGGTCTTTGTATTCTATTTTATTTTATTTTATTTTGGCACAAAAAGGTCTTTGTATTTAAATTTGAAATATAACGACAATTATTATACTTCCCTTTCATATGAATTTAAATGTGAATAAGGCCCAATCGGTAATCAAATTGAAGTTCACATATGATTTAGCATAACAGTGACAACCTAAACCCAAGGTTAAGAGGCACAATTAAATAAATATATCATGCAGTGACAATATTTTCCTATTTTTAATTGTCATTTTCAATTGTTGTCAATTGTCATAATTTGTTATTTTTGTAACAATTCACCAGATGCAATGAATTAAGGGAGTGTATGTTTGTTGGTGGAGTTTGCATCTTTTCTCAATGAAATGGGGAGCCCAAAAGGGATTCTTCCCATGAATGGAAAAAGTAACGGACCAAAATAAATGGGCTTAACTTACCAACCCAAAATCTTAATATTCCGTTAATCACATTTGAATTTCAAACCTCTTCATATTATGTGAGTCAAAAGTCATAACACTTATTTAGTTGGGGCTGGTCTTTGTGTTAGAAAAATATTATTTATCCACTAGGATTAGCTTAGTGGTGTGGGGTGTGTGTTAGGTGTACGTAGTGTGTAGTGGTGTGTGTTCAATTCCCATGTAATGCAAAAAAAAATTTAAAATGGAAACAAACCAAATACTGACATAAAATATGAATATGAATAACAATTCACCACATTATGATTAGAATAAAATATTTGGATATAGAAATAAATCTATATGTTTATAGAAAAAAATCATCTACTTTTTTTTTGGTGAGGAATTATCTACTTTCAGTGCTCCGTATCAGAACACTTTTCATTAATATATATATTTTTGTGTGAAGAATGGAAATGATATGGCACAAAAGAGCCAAAATCACCATGTTATAATTATTTTTTTGGGTATCCTCACCATGTTTGAATTTAATATTAGTTCTTAAGTTAACTAATATTTTTATATTACTTTTAAACCATAATTCATAATAATTTTAAACTTAAAAAAATTCCTATTACATTATTATTACTTATAAGGAATGCTCAAAATTGAATCAGTTCAGTTTACAAATAAATAAATTATAAAACTGAAAATTAAATAAATTGGAATATTTTAAAAAATATTTAAATTAGATCAGTTTTCAGATCTAAATTGAGAATACCGATTCAATCTTATGTTATTCATAATATTTAACGAATTTTTATAAGACTTTATATTTGTATTTTGATTATTTAACTTCTAATCATACTTGATATGTATTTTGATGAAATTGAATTACATATTTTGATGAGTATGTGTATTAAAAAATTCTAACCAAAAACTGAAAACAAATCAAATCTAATTAAACTGATTCATATTTAGTTGGATTGGATCATATTTGTATTTTTAACCAAATTACTCAGATGATATTATAAGAAAAATGATTGTACGAAATGAATCAAATTTTTTATTCTCAAGGTCAATCCAATCCAATTGTTAAATACTCCTAATTATTACATCAAAATTAACATTTTTTAAACGAAAGAATAAGATAGTTACGGTCCACCAATTTTTTTTTAATAATAATATAGTTACTGTTAAAGAATATAATATAAATCATTAAAAAAGTTCTCATCCAACACCTTAAGGTTTTGGGTTGAATTGGTTCTTTACATGGTATCAAAGCTTCAGTGACCATGAGGTCGATCCTCACCGCCTCCTACTTTCAGGTGGAATTAAGAAAAAACACAAGGCAGACCAAAAAAATGGGCTTGTGCAGCACAAGGCAGACCAATAATGAACTTGTGTCATATCCACGCTTAAAGTCCAGAGAGCTCTTGCGTGAAGGGGTGTGTTAGAGAATATAATATAAATCATTAATAAGGCCTTCACCCAACACCTTAAAATTTTAAGTTGAATTGGTTCTTTACAATTACGGTCTCAAAAGACTAAGTCTCAAATTCAAGGCAATTTAAAAATTTATTTTTATAAAACCACTTTTAATTTAACAGTGCTTGTGAAAAATAAATTCTTCTGACATGACTCCCTTAAAATAAATTCTCCAAAAATTTAAACCCAAACAAACACGAAAGATTATTGAACAGAAACCAATAGAGAGATATATTTACCAAAAAAAGAAACTAACAGAGTAATATGTCCATGTTACAGAAAGCGAAATTCATAAGTCACAACCATGGCTTCATACCTATGTAGTGAAGGACATATAGAATCATTGGGCACCAAATAACATGGTTTTCATTTGTTTCTTAGACTCTTCCTGATCATCACCAACCCAAAAATACTTCAAAAAGTTCATGTGTCATGGTGATCAGGCAATGATCACAACTTTTGTTATTCTTGCTGTTCTCTACAATTATTTCTAAAATCACGTGGGTCCACGTGATTTTAAAAACATGTAGAAGCTGACTACGCCAATAATTCTATACATTTTTGCAACTTGGAATAACTGAGAGTGGAGACTGATATATGGCAGTGATTGGCTTCCTTCGAGTAAAAATGAAAGATATTTTGTAGATATAATGTCAATGTCATTTCCGAAGCTATATATAGGGATCACACAGAAATTAGGTTTAACCAAGCTCCCTCCTAGTGCTGGAAAAGGATTAGACAACTTTGGGAAATAAAATCCTACTACCACCCACTAGGACGTGCTTGCATGGAACTAGCTAATTAACACCCAGATTTGGTAATAAGAACTTTGTCCTATAGTTTACCCCCGTAAGCAAACATATCAGAATGCTAGCATTGATATTGCTCGAAAAAACTAAGAGAGAAATAGTGAATGAAAAAAATGAATGGTGATGATTGAGCCAAGAAGATGTTTAATTTGATATAGATAATAATTACTTGCCTCATAAGTGTTTGATATGCATAATAATTACTCAAAAGTCTAGAGAAGCATAAGTGGGTTCATAATATTGGCCTAGCTATAATTAAGCTATGTAGCACTGCATCCGCTATAAGAATTATAACTGCCAAACGTACGTAACATTTGATTATCCGGATTTAGGATACCAATAGAATGTAGTTGTTGCAATTGAAAAGAACTTTAGGTTTTGACCCTCTTCCTAAGAACGGGGAATATAACGTGGCGCCAGGGATCCATTACATGTAGATCTTACAATTCTATTAATTAAATTGTCATGAAGAGACGCACAATTTTTATCTTTATTTTGTTGGACTTATTATTAAAGAGCAATTAATGATATTTAAAAAAAATAAAAATTAGATACCAATAATAACATATAGATATGGTTTGATATTTCTTGTGTAAGCTATGTCTGCCAGAAATAATTTTATCTCTAGTAAAAATATTAAACTTGTAATTTGATATTTAATTTAGAAAACAAGTCCATTATTAGGGGAAAAAAGAAAGAGCAACATGCATATATGTCCTTTCGGTAATGAGTTATGTGGAGTCATGGACATCAAATTACTATATTCTTTTTAATCCCATCCAAAAAAATTAAAAAAAAAGTATATTCTTTTGCTATCTTAAGAGTGAAGTCTCTTATAGAGTGATTCGTGTAATTGCAAATAATGGTTATATATTCAGTAGTGACAATAATAACAAAAGCAAACGAGATTAGTTGTTATTTAATGATTGGAAAAAGTATCATGCAAAAAAATGTGATTAGATAGTAAAAGTATTTAAATAAAGAATTGACGTAGGCCGATGAAACAAAGGTAGAAAAGGATAAGAGGATGATGATGAAAGAGGTTATTCAATACCTCCCTTACGCTGCGATTTACTATTATTGTTATAGATGTAGAACTTCAATACGTGTGTAGAAATGCAAGGATGAAAGGGAAAGCGGGGTGAAGTTGCGAGCAAGTTAGGATAATTGGGTGAAATTAGGATGGAAAGAGACATATTTGTTTGTCGTATTCGTATACATGACCAAGTTTCCCATGGTTTTGGTGCCACATGTTTTTCTCAATGCCACCGGTTTCCTTTGGATACGTACGGGGTACGGCTGATTCATTTCCCCCGTTTATTTTTGTATGTTTAGGTTCTTTTGACGACGTTGTTTGTCATCCCTAACTCACTCATGTCTATATCACTTTCTTCCCGTCACTTTTCGGGCTAGTATTTATTAATTGGTGATCTGTATATATATACGGTTTTGAAATGTTCGCCAATAATGCATATATAGTTGCCCCTTTCTCTTTCTATACCCTACTTGTGTGGCTGATAGTGCCTTAAAAATACAAAGAAATATATACACCGAGCCTCTATCTAGCTAGCAAGCACACCACTCGCAGAGATGCAACGAATTTTGGGCTCCGCGTTAGAAACAAGTTAAATTAGCAGATGGGTATCTTCCAATTTACTATTTGTTCGCTTGATTTGATAGGTTGTTTTCTTGCATAAACACATGTAATTCATCCAATCAGAAAACAACAACAACATATGTTATCCAAAAAAAGAGAGAAAACAACATATACAGCTATTAGACATGTCACATGCATCTTGGCATTCGTAATTGCTGCTAATAAACGTATGGAAGTTCACTTGATTATTCTTTGGTTAGTCACATATTATCGTATAAAAATAATGTCAGACTAAAATAATAACTTCTTTTGAAACTACTTAATTATCATTTGAAACATCAATCAAAATTAATGGATTTAATATAGCTTTTTCTTTTCTTTTTTTAACAGCCCATTTTTTTATTTTTTTTATTTTACTTTTACTAGTTTGGCCTAATCACAAGAGCTGACAAAATGGGCCGAGTCTGCCGGGCCGGCCCGCCCCGCCCGACAAACGGGACAAGCTGAATTTTCTAAACTAGCTGCCCGCTAGTACGTTCGGGCTGATATTTTTTTATATTTAATTTTTAGTGTAAAATATGACGGACTTGGCGGACAGCCCACCCCGCCCGCCCAAACGGGACGGGGCGGGCTGAGATATCTAATCCACTTTCAATGGCGGAGCGGGGCGGACAGGTCGCTTTGCCATCTCTAATCACAAGAGTCTAGGAAGCTAGAGAGAAATCGAAAGATTGTAAGAAATTCCAAAGCTCTCACCTCATCCTGACTGGGCAAGAGTGGTCGTGGTGGTAGACCTCGTCGCTGAGGTTAATGGAATTCAACCAAAAATGCATTTAAAACAAGGCTTATGCTATGTTGTAGATTTTTTTTTATTATCGTTAGTAGGTCGTAATTTGCTCTTAAAATCTAATGGCTGTAAGATGTAGAATAAGCATTAAATGATCACATCATTTAAATTATGATTGTTACCGACTTACGGCTAAAATAAATAAGTTTTATTATTTTAGAAAACTATAGCACATTAATTTTTTAATTTATTCATATATCTTGAAATCTTCACAAGATGAGACTTTAATGGAGTAAAACAAATTAGTCAGATATAATTGTATTATCTTAACATTAAGGATATTTGATTATTCTTTGATATTTGATTATTAGTCAATCACTTAAATTTAAATCTTTCATACTTACTCAAAAAAATATATAAAAAATGCAAACAAAAATGCAAAGGCGCACACAAAGATTAGCTCATACAAAAATCAAAATATATTTTTAATCTCTATACATGATATTTATTTTTAATTCGATCTTTACATAAAATATTTTTAGTTCAATAATTACATATACAATCATCTTCAGTTTAGTCATTGTTGTTTATTTTTATTATAGCAATATCTATTGAAGTTAATGCAAAGACCAAATTGAAAGTAACAGTCACACACAAAGATAAAAAATATTAATATTTTTTATAAAAGTTGGTAGATAGCTGGGTTCCTTAAAGATGCTGACAGAGATTCGATTTCTGACCGTGCATATAGAAAAAACTTTGTTGGAAGAGGTTTACTCACTCAATGTGATATCCCGCCTCGAAAGAATTAGTCTTCAACTGTCAACTGGAAGATACCTTAGAACTCCATATATAACAATATTTTCAGTTATCCAAAAAAAAAATTCAATTTAGTCCCTATCTTCGTAACGCTAATGTTTTGATGTTATAAAAGTTAATATATAGCAAGTAAATATCTTTTTAAGTTCCTAACAAAAAAAAATATGATCTCCATTTTTGTTCCTTACTAAAAAAATTCAAAGTGGACCTATTTAGTTGAAATTGTGATCCTTCATAAATTCAAAAAAGACCCGTATTAATCCCTCAAAATGACAAAAATAAATCCACTTTAAATTTTATAAGTAACATGCGACTAATTTGTTTATAAGGAAGAAATGAAATCAGACAAATTCGTGCATAGATTTAAATCTAAAATAAGAAACTAATGGTACATGATTCACGTGAAATTATTAATAGATTTTTTCAAACTGCTTTCTAGATTTTCAATACCTTTAAACCAGAAAAATAAAATAAAATTCTGAAACATAGAATGGAGGAGGAGGTTTTTCATTTATTCAATAATGGAATCCTGCAGTTGCTAACAAAAAACTTAAAAATTTGGGCACGATGAGGACTGTTAATTTATTGTTGCATACGTTACAATACAAAAATACTTTTGATAATAATTTGAGTTCAACAAAAAGAACTCCAAAGACAGACCAAAATTGGGTAGTCCTCAAAATGAAGAGAGACTCATCAGCTAGCAACAATTTATGCTCATGTTAGATAATTGACTCGAGTCAAACCAGATTCACCACCCAAATCCCTTTTCTTTGGCTTCAATATTGGAGGTACCCAATTGCCAACAATACCAGCATGCTCAACACCAAGAAAATCAGCTTTTGCTCCCATAAAATTCTCCCTGCCATTACTTGGCTCTTTACGACAACCAGAGAGCCATTTGGATTGCATATATGTAGTGGTTCTCCATGGGGGTACGTGGAGGCCATTCTCTCTCAGCGACTGTTTGGCAGCAGAACATAGCAGTGAGATTATCTTGCACAGTTTGTTCTCAGTCCCAACAAAGATAACTGGGAGTGAGTCTGTTAATTCTCTGTAGTATTGTGTAGGCCTTGCAAGTTCAAATTGGGACCTGAAGTCTATATCTACTATAAGCCTCACAGGATTAGCATAATTCTCATCTTCAGTTATGACTTCAATATATTCATATTCTCCTGTTGTACAAAACAAAAAGGTCAACTATATAGAAAACAAAAAAAAGGTCTAAAGTGTAGTGGTTTACCAAATTATTTTTGGTATCATGAAAAATTGAAAAATAGTGCAGCATGAGCATGTCTAATTCAAATTTAGAGAAATTGAGAAAAAGATAGAGAAAGACCCACCAGCAGGACATCCCAAGGAGGTGGCCCAAGATGTTTGGCATATAGAAGCATTAAGGCCATCGATTTTCATCCTCATAACAAGCCATCTATTAACACTTGATGTTTTCTCACCACCCTGTCTACCTCTTATATGCTTCAACACATACTTCACAACCTTAGCCTCTGCTACTGTATCACCCTCACTCCTTAGAATATCCTGAAACTCGTTGCAACATAGAAAAAAACACATCAGAAGCATGACAAAGCCAAAGCCATGCTTAAACCAAGACAAAATTTGAACAAAACAAGAAACACGAGTCATTTGAATTCATTGAACAGTACCTGCAAAATAAAATATTGGGTTCGATGGTTTAAAGCATGACAATTTGAGGAAGTAGAACTTGTAGGAGATGTTGATTCAGATTCTACAAAATCTTGCACCATCCGTACTAATTCGTCCTCCTCTAAACTTCCCATTTGTGTTTCTTTTCAATAGTCAAAGAGAAGAACAGAATATACTTAGAAGTCTTGAGAGAGTTCTGTGTTTATATATGCGGGATATGGCGGTGGAAAAAACAGCTGTGTGGTGGTGACAGATCACACATAAGGCCCTGCCATGATAAGGTAAATATTAAATAAAACAAAAGGGGAACAGTTAAAAATGGTGGTGAGGTATATTGTGCAGAATATCCTTATCTTCCTTAATTTAATAACCATGAAAATCACATAACCAAGTGTTTTCAAATTTCAATATACGTTTATTTTTTCTGCACTAAATTATCTGCATCTAATTTAAAATGACATCATTTTAAAAAAATTAAAATATTCTTATAATTATAATTTATTTTGTAATTATAATAATTTTTATCATTAATTTTTTAATCATTTAACTAAAAATAATGTCATTTTAAAAATAAATATAAATAATTTATCTACGTTTCATTCCATGTATAAACATTAAGGGAAATACTACTAGGTAATTATCTTCTTTTCTCTCACTCCGAAAATCGTGCCCCTTCTTTTTTCTTTTTTGCTTTTAAATAGCGGGTCATATTTGGATTCTCTCTATAACATAAGAGAACTACTCTCATATTACATGAGAATAATATTACGCAAACATTAAACCCTTCAATATATTCCAGAACATAATCTGACCATGTTTTAGTGACAAATAAGTGCCAACTCAGCCGGTAATAATAAGATTTATCAAACGGCTTCGAGCATTTCATACTGTTACGATAATTCGTATAACCCCAGATTCGGTAACGTAATCACATATTCATTACACCAAAAGAATTATCGCAAACTCATTGAATCTAACTAATAAAAGTTTTCCTTGCTAGCACAATTTAGAAATTTCTTACTGTATCAATTTTTTTATTTTATTTTTTAAAAAGTACTGACTTATTGGGTCTTGGGTAATTGCCACTTGCCCAAGTTACTTCAACTTAGTAATAGTTCTTATCTATGATGTTTGAATTAAATATTTTTATAACTAAATAGCAAAACATCGTTGCTAAAAAAACCCAACACTCTTTGAATACGATTCACAACTATTGGTTCAAATGATAAGAAACTTATTCTCCTTAATTAAAAATCTCGAGTTCAAGTCTTGAAAAAAAAAAATTAATCCATGTGTAATATTTTGGATAAAATATTTCGTACATGTGAAATGATTTTTCTTTATAATACTTTGGACAGTAATTACATTCCACAATATTATTATATTTTTATAACTATTCTCGTTTTATGTAATTATTACTCTTTAAATATTTAAAACTAATTTAATACATGAAATTATGTAGGTTAAAAATAATATAAATTAAGATATATATGATAGAAAAAATAATTTGAAGTCCCATTCCATGAAACCTGAAGTCACCAATTCCACCTCTCTAAAAAGGAATTGTGGTTCCTAATTCTTTGAATAACGCATCAAATAAAATCACCATTCCGTATATATTTTTGCTAACAAACATTCTAATGTTTATTTATTGGAGAAACTCAACTCCCTTCTCGCGGAGAAACTCAACCCCTTCTCGCAGATACGCTATAATACCATATGTCATATTTTTATTTTATTAAATTTACTTAAAATAGACCCCACATCAAAAATATAATTACAACAGAAAATGTCAATCTGTCACAGGAAAACTATAATGCTCTTATTTCATAAAATAAAATTCCAAATCAGCATTCATAGTACCAAATATAACATAGGTTTAAAATTTCTTCTGTCACAACCAAAATTTACTTCTCCTGCTATAGACCCATGAAAAATTGAGCAAGCTTAATTTTATTTTATTTTTGCTTTTCGTAATAATGAGTACCACTGAAGTGTTGTGTCTGCTGCAAGAAATAAACTTTTGCTCTGACAACAGAAGTTTGAAACCCATATAACATAAAGGGAAATTATTTTCTCATGGAGATTTTTTTCTCATGTTGTGAGGTATTGAAATATGTGTTATCTTTTTTTTTAATAAGTGATAGGACATATCACTTGTTGTATCTATAACGTGAGAGATATTCTCTTATGTAACATGAGAAAAAAAATCCTAACATAAATTATTAAGGTTTATGATCTACCCAGAGCTAAGACCTGACACTAGTTCCAGTTTTAAAAAATAGAATGCGATGATAATATCGAATTTGATGCCCCACTAAATTATTTATACGTGTCATCCATCTAGATGTTTGCAACTCCGATGAACTTATAGAATATATGTAAAAAGTGCTCAGAAGTTTTGCATTTCCATTTTCTTAATAATTTAATATATTTTTAGTCAATAATGATAATTGATATTTAATAATTAAAGTCACTTTATCAATAATTTTTGGTGTTTAACCAAAATGTGATTGATATAAATTCAAAATATGAAAATCAAATCTGATTAAATTCATCCAAAATTCTATTTAATAATGTTGATTGGGAAATAAAACGCAATCCAATTAATATAAAAACTGCTGAAATCATTTATGTTTCACTTTGAACTTAATGTAAAAATTTAGCCAACCATACTAAATTTAAGAGAGGAAAGTATCTCACTGCTATTTTCCCCTTAATTAATAACATGCTGCTTCAGCTCTATTGCATTGCTCAATCTAAAGCTTTACATCTTCTATCATGTCTTTCTGTCCAGCTTCCTGTTCTTCTTTGCTTCTATTAATGTATGCTTCTCAATTGGGCTGCTCGACTTTTTGTATTTCATTGGGCTCGCATCTTCTTCTTCTTTTTCTTTTATAAATTATTGGTGGATCCTCCTTATCCCACCTTCACTAATTGACATATTTCTCAATCAAATGAATTATCATACAACTTTGTTGGGAATTGTATGGTTACGGTAGAGTTGAGTTAGTTTAAATTCGTGAGTTACAAAAATATTAGGATTGATCTAGTCATGAAGTATTTGGAATCTCAGTGCCATCATTTCTATCCAAAAAAAGAAAAAAGAATGTGGGTTACACTGATTAAATGAGTTTAGGTTGGTTTAAAATATATATATATATATATAATCAGTCAGAATCTGCTCAATTAAATATAAGTTGGTTCAAATTAGGTCATCGGGTCCCGTATATATTTAATTTTTTTAAAATATTGATTAAAAATAAAATTAAAAATAAATTTTTTAAAAATTATAGGGGGTAGGGTCGATAATAATAGTTTCAAAATTTATTAGTTGACAGGTCTATTAGGACTCGCGATCACCCATATGAAAATGGTCACAAAATCTCAATGAACTTCTCATTCTACCGTCATGAATATTCATTTCCACTGCAACAGAGCAAATGCGCAGGAAATGATTATTTTCTTAGGGCCTGTTTGGTTTTTTTCCCCTCCAAAAATTATTTTTTTAAGAAAAAACAAAGTATTCCTTACTTTAAATTCGTTTGAATGTCTGTTCTTAAAAACAAACATAAGTTACAAAAAAGTTAAAAATTTACTTTTTTTAGAAGCTAAAAATTTTAACTTATAAAAAAGCAGAAGTTAAAAGTCAAATATTATTTTTTTAAACTAAATATTTTTGTAAAAATATAAATAAATTTAACTTTTATAAAAAATACTTATAAAATAAAAAAAAATAAAAATTACTTTTTTTAAAAGCGTTAGAGCTCGTAGAAGAAGCAACTTTTTAAGCGGAACTATATTATACCCCAATCAGGTTGCATGAAGAAGGCCTAAACCACAATTATACTTTTCTTATCTAACAATTTCGGTATTTGAAAGTTATTTCCAATAGGAAAAAGTGTGTGTTATTTTAAAGGATACAAAATTATATTATTTTAAGAGAAAGAAAGAGATAGAGGAGGAGAGAGAGTTGACAAAAAAAATAAAAGTGTGAGTCCAACCTCTTTGTGAAAGTAAAAAGATATAAGTTGTGTCATTTAAAAGAATAAACACTTTTACCTTTCCAACATGTCCAATGTAAGCTAAACCGAGATAATGAAAAAAAATAAAAAAAATACTCACTATTTTTTCCGTTCTCAAGATTTAACCCTTTATTTATGGAAAACCAAATCTCTTACCGCTCCCACTAACTACCGTTAGTGACATTAGTCAAAATATCAAACTTAATATATTATTTCATCCATTTACTTAAAATAATAAATATTTAATGTTATAGGAGCTTTTAAAGTACTAAACACCTTTTAAATACTCAAAGGATAATTAATCAAAAAGAGTCTGTGATAAGATATAGAACTTTGAAATGTCATCAAGACAAATTACTCTAATTTATAAAGATTCGAATGTCATCAAGAAATTTTGTACAAAAAAAAAAAAGATTAGTCAAGAAATTACTCCTTTTTTTTTTTTGTACCAACAAATAAAAGAAGAAGATTGGAATGTTATCAAGAAATTTTGCTCTCTCTCACTAGCTCCATCAAAATTGTCAAGTATGGCTGCATTGATGATGCTGAACCTATTCTATCAAGGAAAATATTTTGAGCACACTTATCAAAGGAAAAAAATAAACAACTTACTTACATTTATTCTAGTCATATTTTATTATTAATGACATATAAATTTCATTTTATCTGAATAATCGTGTTTGAGCTCTATGACAGTCATACAGGAACAATTCTTTTTTTTTTTTTTGGAGTTACCCAACCCTAATTATCTCTTTGAGACGAGTTGGCTCCCTTCGGTATCCCCACGAGCTTCGACTCTTTGAGCCGACTATGGGACTAATCCGGAGTGCGGGGGAACAGTGATGGCTAAAGGTTCAGCCCCCTCCCCAAGAATGCATTCAGCGGGAATCGAACACATATCCAACCCCACTAACTCAGCGCCAAGTTACCAGCTGAGCTGCACCCATTGGGTCAGGAACAATTCTTCTAAGATTGTTTTTTTTAGAAAAAAAATAAAATAAATTGAAGTCGAGACCTCTAAATAAAATAAATAAATTTCTTACCACTTAAATTGACAATTCTAATTTTGATAAAAAGGTGCCGGCGTATTGGAAATATATTCCATGTCAAGATGTATAATTTGAAAGTCACCTTCCATTTTCTGCAATCGCCCCATCTTATTGGCTATTATTTCCAAGCACTAGGTTATGGCAAATCAACGTCTACATATATGGCACCAACCACCAAGCATACAATTTGGAGAAAAGAAAAATGTTTGTTTTCTTAAAGATAGTCATTTTAATTAAAATTATTATTATTTATTTAAGATTTAAATTTTAAAAAAAAAAAGCCTATCACATTCTCCCACTATGAATTCTCTTTATGTTATTATAAAAAACAATAATTTTGATTAAAATAATATAATTTTATATCTTTTAAAAGAACAAACACTAATTCCTTTGATGAATGCGATTTCTACTGTTGATCACATAAATTAGTTCATTCGCAAAATTAATTTATAGCGTCCCTAGCTGATTATGGTGTTGTCGTCGTTCTGTAGAAGCTCCAAGATGAATTTGTTTTCCAATTCTATGGGATATATATCCAAATAATTTTACATTTTGAGGCCAGATAGAACAGAATCACAATTCATACAGAATTTGAGCCCAAGCAACATGTCAACCGGAAACTTTATGGGAGAAAGATACTGTCAGGAGATACTTTTAGCCTGTCTCCTTAAAGAAAAATTTCAAGTTGGTGCATGCATACATTACGATTAACTATACAATGACTTAATTAATAATTCATTGGTACCTAAGCAACATTTATCTGCATCTCTCATTCAGATTATTTGTTAATTGTAAATAAATCATTAATTAAATTAGTTCATTTTATGGTTATCGGTATCCTTGGCACTAAACTAAAAATACTTTTAACGACAAATAAAAATGTTATGTCACCACCAATAATTATTGATTACGTAATAAGGAGTTTGTTCCTCTTCATCCGATATTTGAGATGAGTTTTGAAATGGAGAAAATAATTTTAGAAAAATATCTCTTACAACAAATTCATCAGTACTTGAATCGGATCATTAATGAATTTGAGAATATATTAAAAAAATATAATTGACATAAGAAGTGATATTAATGTCGTTGTATCATTTCCCCTTGCTCGAATATAAAATTTAAGAGTTCAATAATAATTTATTGTTATTAATGTGGTTTGATCCACCATTAAGTCATATTTCTCCTCCTCTAATTATTTACATCTTTTAGACAAATCAAAAAACAAAGTTAAAAAAATAAATAAATAAATAAAGTTCAACTATTGCATCACCTGTCACTCGTATTCTTGAGGGAAGAGCAGATAATAACCCTGGCCCGTGTCCAAAAGAAAAAGTGTTGATTCTCCCTTAAAAAAAAAAAATTTAAAAACTCCAGTTGACGACTTGACGCTCTCGGTGCTCTTGCCCAACTGGAATTTTCTGCATTTACCACAATTACTTAATTATTAGCTTCTCAAGAAAAAAATAATTAGGCTAGCCCAGTGGGTTTACTTGACTAAAGGCCACTTCTGACTTTAGCTATACCAATCATCTTCTTGGTATTGACCTGCTCAATGAGGCATGAAGTCATGGAGAAAGTTTTTTTTTTTTTTTTTTTTGAAAATATTCCATCGGTTCATCGCTTCGCGATTAATCCGATTCGGGGCGGGTCCAGGATTAAGGCTTTAAACCCCTCCCAAAGATGCTACTGGAGAGATTCGAACACATGCCCTCACCCCACCTGCTCAGCTCCCATGCGCCAACTGTGGTAACGGAGAAAATTAGATAGCAAAGAATGGAATTAGCAAGCTTCAAAAAAAGAAACCAAATTAACCTTGAAGGCAGGAACATATAGAATGTCTAGTAATTTTAATGAACTTCACAAATAGATTGTTCCAGAAATAGAAGTAGTCACACAAGTTCCAATCAGCATCATGATGGAGATTGAAGTAATGAACTAAACAATGAGATCATAGAACATATATGATCTATGTCAAATATCCAACAAGCATGATTGTTACAAGGAATATTTGAGAAATTCAACGTGGAGGAGCTTGAATTCATTGTTGTCACCAGATTGGTGGAATGAAAAGATGAATCCTCATTTTCTGCTTGGAGTTGAGTGTGCTGCAGAAGATTCAGCAACTTCTGATATTGCTCGTGAGACAATGAGACTCATAACTTCTATTCATCACTTTGGCTCGCGCTAAACATAGTCATATCAACTCCTTGCTGAACTAGATTCACAACATTATGCTGCTTTGAGGCACCTGTCTTGTAACCAGGGGGAAAGCCATGAAGTTGATAACAAGAATCAATTGTGTGGTTATTTTTACCACAATGAGTGCATAGTTTCGTCCCACACCCTTGACTTCCGGAGGTAGATCCACGTCCCTGACCTCCACTATTGAATCTTGGCATTCCTTTCTCAACAAAGAACTTCTGCCATTGTTATGTGATCCATTAGGAAAAGTGCGAGATGACAGAGAAACCTCACCTTGTGGGATTAAGTGTTGCATTGCAAGGTTAAAATAAATGTTAAATGTATAATTACTTTTATTTCTTCTTCAAGAGAAAACAAATTCTAAGAATATCTTATTACTTTTTTTATCTTATTTATCATTAAATCATAGTGTTCTTGGCCAGCTTTTTCAGGCCTAACTTATTGAGTCTAATATTAATAGCTTACGTTTAGAATTTTCTAGAAAGTATCTCATACGAGCTATAGAACCTTATCACAGGAAATTCTTCTTTTCCCCTGCACAACAACCTTTATGCACTGTGGCTGCATTGTGCCTGTTCCCAAGGACAAGGCCATACTAGAGATGGTACAACTCTTGTCTACCACTCCTGGTTCTCTTTTCTACACTTAAGGAGCGTTTGGTTGAGTAAATTTTTTTGGAATAATAGGAAAATGTAATAGATAAAGAAATGATTAGAAAAATAAATAAAGTGAGATAAGTAGAAAAATGTAAGAAAAAGTTGTTTGGTAGGGAAAAACTTTACTGAGAAAATTAGGTAACTTTATGAAATCAACAGTGCATTAAAAGTCAGATAACCGGTTTTCCGAAAAATCTCACCTTCAAATTGGGTTTCTAAACAGTGCGAATATCTATGTTTCTCATAAATCCATACAAATTGGATAGATGAATTTTTGGTAAAAATACGTTGAAACAAACATGATGTTTCTAAAAGCCATACTTGAAAAACATAATATCCGCCGAAAAGCTCCCAACCAAACACCACCTTAAAAGAAGAGCGACTTCTCTCAAAATACCCTTTTCTCCTATTGAAAGGAGCATCATCTCTTCTATTCATCTTTATGAACTGTTACTATGCAAAATATAGAGCCATCATCTTCCCCCATTGCAGGGTCCAAAATAAAAAATTGAGAAAATCAAACAAAACTAAAACTAAAAAATTCCATACACTATTAAGTAAATTTTGGTTTAGTGGGGGACCAAGGCCACACTTGCCCCGGTTGGATTGGTCGCTATCGTTATGTATTTAATTCTGATGTAATGTGAATGTAAAAGTTCTTTTACAAAAAAAAAAAAGCTTGAATAGGACGACAATTATCTAAAAGCTCAAACTCCCCAGTTGATCTATCTACACCTACTTAAGTGGTAGTATAAAAAACTTTACATTAACACTACAATAAAATCATACTTTACCTTGATTACCAAAAAAAAAATCATACTTTATTATGTACAATAATTTGCAGTATTTTTTTATACAAATAACGTGCAGCATTAAATCAAAAAAATTATTTAATGCTGAGAGTCATTTAATCACTTTATTATTTTTTGTATAGTAACTCTAAATAGATTAATAAATGACGATGCTGAGAGTCATATAAATAACAATAATTCAAGAACTACTTGAATGTTTGCAAAATCTTATTAACAAATCAAGAGTTTATAGTTTTTTGTTTTGTTATTTATCTTCGTCAACACAAGAAGAAACATGTGTTTGACCGAACAGCATCTTCTCTTCCCTTGGTCAACAAATGACCATCTATTTCTATTTCCTTCATCGCAAAATAAACAAATCAAACATTTTGGTCCAAAACCTCTTTCCTTTTTTTTTTCTTTCTTTCTTTTTTTTTTTTTATTAATTCACAACAAATCAATAATTATATTCTAAGGTTTTTTATAGTTATTTTGGTTCCAAAATCAGCCTCTTTGCATCAACACTCATTTTCTTTTCCTCTCAGCTCAGCTCTATTTTCCGTTCACCATGAACCCGCCTGAATTCCCCTCCGGCGGAACATCATCGCCGTCGTCAAAGAAAGAGCTCCAAATCCAAGGGACACGTCCACCACCTCTCAGAGTCAGCAAAGAATCCCGTAAGATTTGCAAGCCGCCGTTGCCACCCGCCGCCCACCTACGGCAGCCGCCGCCGCCGCCTCCGGAGGACAACCAGCGTCAGCAGCCGGTGATCATCTACTCCGTATCTCCCAAAGTCCTTCACGTCACCGTCAACGACTTCATGAACGTGGTCCAGCGCCTCACCGGACCATCCTCCGGCGACGAACCCCCTCAACGATCCGGCGATGTATCGCCGGCGGCCAGGCTTGCATCCATCGAAAAAACAAGCCCATCGGAGAAGGAAAGAGTTCACAGCGGAGACGACGACTTGATGGCGTGGCTGTTAGAAGGAGTGGAAGTGGGTCAATTCCCCGGTATATTATCGCCAGCGCCGGCGACTTTGCCGCCGATACCGTCGGGGTATTTTTCGCCCGTGACAGATCCGCAAACGATGTCGTTTTTGCAAGAACTGAGCCCGTTTTGGTCAGCGGCGAGCCCGTCGGGTTTACTTTCCGCCGCCGTGGTTTCTCCGCTGCCGTCGCCGGACCTCTTCAATCTCTTTGACTAATTTTTATTTCTTTTTCTATTTTTATTTTTTGCCTAAAATAGTTTTGGCTTTTTGTCGATGATTGATTGGGAAAGGACTAAGGAGGTGGTGGAAAATTCAATATTCACTGACTTTTGTGCCATAAAGTTTTGTAGTCTGTATATTTATGTGCTGAAAAATAAGAAAAGTAGAAGAAAAAAATTGAGGTCTGTGCAATACTGTTCTGTATTAATATTGGCTCTATTTATGTCACAACCACCTAGTTTCTTTTACGGTTTGTTTACGTGGATTGGGCTTTATTTTTTTTAATAAATCAAATATCTTTTAGGTCCTTAACAAAATTTATAGGACTTATTTTAATTCTTTAGGAAAAAAAAAATTGACTTATGGTTCTTTTAAAATTTAAAATAAATCTAGTTATTCGAAATCGTGATCCCTTTGAAATTTAAAGAAGACTAGCATTAGTTCCTCAAAAGAACTAATATGAGTCTATTTTGAATTTTAGAGGGAACACGAGTCGAATTTTTTTCTAACGAATTAAATTGGGCCCGTGATATTTGTTGAGGATCCAAGAGATACTTTATTTTAATTTAAGAATAAAGTATATTTTAAAAATATCACGAGCCTAATTTAATTCCTTAAAAAAAAAAGTAATCGACTAATGGTCCTTCTAAAATTCAAAATAGGCTTATGTTAGTCATTTTGAGAGACTAATGTGGATCTTTTTTGAATTTTAAAAGAACTACAATTTTGACTAACTGAATTTATTTTGAATTTCAAAGGACCACAAATCGACTTTTTTCACCCTAAGAGATTAAAATAAGTCCTATAATTTTTATTGAAGATCCATAAGATACTCTACTCTTTTTTTAAATTCAGCTCCCCAAAAATTGTATTTCAGATATTTCAGTAATGGACGATATTTTTTTGGACCAGAGTGGATGTCTCAAAGTTTGAAAGAATTCTTTTTAAATACTACCTTATCCTGTTCTATAAAAGAAATTGTTCCTCAAAAAGAAAAAAGTTTTTAGGATATCTTTTACTTGACAGGCAATGTCTAACTTTTCCTGTTCGAATAATTGTATTAGCATTTATATGACCACCAGCACGAGCACAAAGACTGGTACGATAAAAGGATGAGTTATGTAATAATAGTTTAAAAAAAACTTTTTACATGTATTTTTCAGCTTACAAAAATAAAAGAAATTCTCTCATTCTTGATATGTACAAGGGAATATCATTTCCGTATCTGTGGCAGAATTTTTTTTTCTACCATATAGTAAATCAAAGAGGGAGGGAGAAAAACTGATTAAATGATGAACCCATTCTATTTTTACGTAAATCAAAGATAAGGAACCTATAAGAAGAGAAAAATTGATTAAATGATAAACCCACTCCACTTTTACTATGTCGCAGACTTTTTTTTCCTGATGATATTCCCTCTGTTATACAATGCAATTAATGATTAACATTTCTACTCTTGACATCCAACCAAATTGTACTGCTTTTATAGTACATCGGTAAGGTGAGAGACCATGTTCAAAACTTTGAGAAAAATATCCTCCAACACGAGTCGATGACACAGAGAAAGAGAACTTAGAAATGAAAACAATAAAGCTGGAAGGTATGTCTTCATGTGCTAAGATACGTCACCTTAGAGGAATGAAAAATTCAAAAATGAATGCTAATTTTTATTCCTTCACCCTTCTTTCTCTGATTTTATTTCCAGAACAAAGTTTTTCGGTTTGGAGAAATCTAGCCCAATATTCTTAGTGCTTTAGTTGATAACGGAAACAAGGTGATAAACTTCACCCGTATTCCAATGAATTACATCCCAGAAAGTAGGATTGTAAATTGCAGCCAAACTGCATGCTTGTTTTGGACGAAAGATGTAAGGTACTTTATGAATGCAATACAAAATATGGATTAAAAAAACAAAGACAGGAATTGTGTGCTAACTCAGCAAAGTTCCAAAGTCAAAATGTCATATTTTTCAAACCACATGATGGCAAAGTAAAATTAGGCCAAACAACATGGTGAGAAACATCAAACAGTAATTTACCTTGTTATATTTACAGATTTATGACTCGAAGCAGCACCCTTAAAGTTCATCAAAACCACCAACAGCAAAGTTATGCACCTCACATTTTTGGCATCCTCAGCTGGAAGATTGTATAGGAAAAACATAAGAATCACTCCGTAATTGGACTTCAAATATTTTCATGTTCTTGATATGGTAGAATTCGACGCTGCCCCAATCAAAGTGCCAACCCTCTCGCCTTTAATGGCTTTCTCAATGTTACCTGGTTTGTTTAGATTGAAGACAACAACTGCACCACAAGGGAAGGGGAGGGACAGCTTATCAAGATAAGACAATTCAGTTTTAATAGGTGGAAGAGACGATTAATCTAATACCAATGCGAGTTACTTCCACTAAAAAATATAAAAAAATAAGTCATAAATGTTTATCTGTGTGACTTACCAGGAATATTATTTTCCTGGCATAAAGTTATGGCAGTCAAGTCCATCACTGACAGATCTTTTGAAATAACCTCCTGATAGGTTAATGTGTCAAGAAGACGTGCTTGTGGATTACGCTTTGGGTCATCATCATACACTCCATCAACATTGGTTGCTTTGAGTACAACCTCTGCATTGACTGAATAAATGATGGAGTAAATATAAGTAGACAGCAGTAAAGTTCACTTTGTATACTGAAGTGAAAACAAATATAGCACAACCATTATAAATTAGTGAAACAAATTTTGCAATTCAGAAAATGTTTTTGAAAATGTACATCCTTTGTCGAGAAGTGAGAATGAAAACAATACGAACAAAGCTATCAACAATAAAACAGATAGAACTTTGTTTTAGATCACAGCAATAACAAAATAACTCACTTTCCGCACATCGGAGTGCTGCAGCAGTGTCCGTGGTAAAGAATGGATTTCCAGTTCCAGCGGCAAAAATGACAACCCTTCCTTTTTCCAAATGCCTCACAGCCCTTCTGCGTATATATGGTTCTGCAACCTCAGACATGCGAAATGCAGTCTGCACCCTAGTAGGAATGCCAATACTCTCCATTGTTGCTTGAAGAAATATAGCATTCATGACAGTTGCCAACATCCTAGAGGATAAATTAAACACAATTAGCAAAAAGAAGCAAATTATTTCTCTCATATTATGCATTTTTACCAACACAGAGTATAGTGGATCATAACAAAGTGGAATTTTCAGCGAACAACTAGTACAACAGAGCATGGTTGTTGAATCGCAATACGTATCGTGAATCGTTCGGCTGCTTTTTTGCATCGTGAATCGTATCGAATCGTAAGATTCAGAAACAAATTAAAAATAACTTAAAAATATATAATATCATATAAATCCAAATTAAAAAAAAATCTAAATACCAAAATCCATAAGTAACCAAATCTAAAACCAGTTATTTCTCATATTCATTAAATTTCAAGACTAATATTATCACTACTATCACTATCAGGATCTAGTATTGGCATATCTAGTCCTTCATCCTCTCCATTAGTAGAGTCATCTGACTCATCTCCCATAACTTGTTCAATAATTTGAGATCCTTTTCTGTTATCATTCCTGTTGACATCCTCTTGTATTAAGATGCCTTTGCCTTTATCATTCCTATCATCTTGAAGATTTCGAGGACCTAAAAAAAAAATACATAATGTAAATAAATATATTAGATAAGGTGTTTGATTAAAAGAAATATTATATATGCAAATATACCTCTCTTTCTCTTTTTGCTTTGGTCTCCTTCATCAACGTTGAAGCACTCATGAACATCCATCCAAGATTCCTCATCCATTAGGCAAAGCTCCTCTTGCTCAGTAATCCATTCCTCGTCAGAATCTAAATCTGATAAGCAGATAGGATCATATGTGTCTCCTTTTTCCTCCCTTTGTTTTTGCCTAATTTCAAGTTGAAGGTTGTATTTAACAAACACAAGAGCATTCAACCTTTGTTGCTCTAAACGGTTTCTTCTCTTAGAGTGAATTTGATCAAACACACTCCAATTTCTCTCGCACCCTATAGCACTGCAAGTGAGGCTTATGATACGAATAGCTATTGTTTGCAGCTCTTTGCAGTCGTCTCCAAAACTATTCCACCATAAAGCTAGCAAAAAAAAAATATAATTGATAAATAAATATTTGGTTAAAGACTTAATTTTTAATTTTAAAAATATCAAAACATAATTTAATCAATACAAAAAATTCGATGATTACCAAGTTGCTTCCTAGCTCTAGTTGCAATTGCTAAACTATTTCCAAAGAGTCCTTCAGCCCTGTCAAATTTCTCAATTTGGGAATCAATTGTGATCCTTGTTTCAATAAGGAGACACATCTTCTCCAATGTCTTCCACAAGCCAGTTTTAACCTCACGATCTGGGTTGAACTTTGTGTCATAGTGGAACCTATATAATTATTATAAATTTAGAATAAGGCTTAATAATAAATCAAATATAAAATATAAAGAATTTTATATAAATAAATTTTATAAAAAAAAAAATACTTACTTTGGATTAAGAAAATAGGCGGCTGCATGAAGAGGCCTATGAAGTTGTAAACCCCAACGCTTGTCAATGATTTCCCATACATCCTTATATCTCTTTTCCTCATGATTAAAACTCTTTGCTATTTCTTCCTTTGCTATTTCTTCCTTTGCTCTATCCATAGCCTCATAAATGTATCCCATTGCAGGTTTTGAATCACCATCCACATGTCTAAGAACTTTCACAAGAGGAGACACAATTTTCAAGCAATAATGTATTGATTTCCAAAACCTTTTATCAGCCAAAACAACATTTTCTGCAAATTTGGCTTCCGGCCTAGAGCAATAAGCACTATTAACCCATTTTTCAGATGTAAACATAGATCGAAGTGCAGTCTTTTCTCCTCTGTAAGTCTCTCCTTCTGTTTCGTTGCTTCTTATAAGTCACTACAAGTCGTCTCTGTTCGCACCTCTCTGCAAGTAGGCTTTTGTTTTGTTGCTTTCGCACCTCTCTGCAAGTCGTCTCTCCTTCTGTATCGTTTTTTATTTTTTTGTCTTTGTTGTTCTCTTTCTGTTTCGCAGTTTGCACCTTCGCACCTTTCTGTTCTTGACTTCTTGTTTCCTTTTGTTTTTTAAATGGAATTTTGAATCCTTGATTTTTCTGAAGCAAACAACCTTTCAGATAACAACATGCCGTTCCAAATCCTGCGACTGTTGAGTGTTTTTTTTTAAATTTTTTTTTATATTTTGAATAGCAAAAAAATTTCGATTCACGATTCACAACCGAATCGTTCGATTCCACGATTCCAAATCACGATTCATGCCAAAAACGATTTGCTATTGCGATCTGTATCGATTTGCCACTGTATCGTATCGTATCGTATCGCACGATACGTATCGCGTATCGTGCGATACTAACAACCATGCAACAGAGCTATGAACTTAGTCCACGACATAAAATTAACACAAACTTCTGAACATGCATGATTTCTGACAGAAGATTACAGGTAGGTTTAATTAAGAGTGAGGTTTAGGGAATCACCCAATATAATCAGCAGATGAGCGGTCTAGACCACTACATCCAGCCCAGGAGGATCCACGGAAGATATTACCCCCACCAACTACTAGTGCAACCTGAAACATCAGCCTAATCATTTAAAACCAAAGTCTGAAAACCAGTAAAAAGCTTTGAATAGTTTCAAGTCAAATGCTCTAACTTGCAATAATATTATAAACTCTCCCAAAATTACTGTTGATTACAAAATAGATCCATGTAGCACTTTTCCCAAAGATAATTTTGCAAAACACATCAACAACAACAATTTCCCAATACTAAAACAGATTTCACGCATTCAATTAACCAAGTGATCTCAAACAACATGAGGATGTTGCAGAAAAACTACAATAAAAGAAACAGAAAGGCATTAGTATAAAAAGAATACACTATAGTCACCTCAATGCCAAGGCGAGTCACAGATGCCACCTCCCTTGCAATGGCCATAGTTATCTACATTCAACCCAAGGAAAAACAAACAAACAAACAGCTCAGAAACAATGCTGAGAACAAGTGAACAACATAATATAGCAAAATGTTTCATTTTATTTGTTATGTTTTCATGAAGGGTCTATTACCACTCTTCTCTGATTAACTTGGTTCTCATTTCCCTAAAATGACCCTTTTAAGTAATTAAGCCGCACTAAAGGTTTATTATCACTGTTATATCTATCTAAACATCTAATTAACAATCATAATAATTAATTTAAAATATAAAAACAACTTTCTAATTATAATACTAGCTATTTCTTATTCAATGTGTGCCAAAAAAAAAAAGTGTTGGAAATACTATTGTAATTAGAAGCTAGAATACTACTTAAAAAGTTGCTTTCATATTTGACACAAATAATAATAATCAAAGAGAACATACCCCTTTAGCACATTTGACAAAGTAAGACGATAAAACAATTCTAAAGCATAGAGGGAAAGATGAAGCTTTTTGGAACATTCCCTGATATATTCTTGAAATTAGAAGAACCTATAAAACATTACAAACTATATATTGCACACTGCAGATGCAATATGATGTGACAAGATCTACATGACCTTAAATGATAAAAGTAAGCACTCTCTGGAGCTGGACAAGCTTCCAGTTGTGTGGAGCTGTCATTCACTGTATCCTCCATGGTGTACTTCTAGTTACATTCGTAATCTTTAACAGTTAATTGGGGGACGGGGGGTTAGAGTGTACCACATCTCCATGCATTGATCACATACTCACAGTCAAAATGGTTGAGCTTCTTTCTCTATTCTCTAGTCAATTCATGAGCATTTGAAACCTGAGAGCAAGGGTGTATATGAACTAGTCTGATTCTCCTAATAACGTTGTTTAAAATTATTTATTATATTTCTTTTTTACTCCAGGCACGTCAAAATATAAAAAAGCAGATGTGTTGTAAGGACTATACAAGTGGATGACCCATTTACTCAATGCCTTTGGGTTTTATATTAAGATGTGGTGTCGAACATATTTATTGTAGTGGATTATTGCTTAAGCCATTGATAGATGCCTCCTTGGTTTGGGCTCCCATTGGTACAGTTAACTAAAAATTTACAATACATACACCCAATATGTACAACAAGATGTACTATAATTAAGAAGTTATTTTTATATTTAAAAATGGAGTCTTATTTGAATATATAAAAGAGTTACAATATGTTGCTACTTTGACTCAATTATTGAATAAATAAATTTTAACAAAATGATAAAAAAAGCTATTCAGAGAAAAGTATAAACAGACGAATAAGAGTAGCTATATATGTTTTCAATAATACCAGAGAATAAAGATATGATGATTGCGTTGCAAACCTTTGGGTCAATATTCTGAGAGTGATCTCCTGCAAGAGCTTCTCCGCTGACTTTGAGCAAGACCCTTCGCCATTTGTATAATGGCTTGCTAGATTCATTCATTGACAATCCAAATGGAGATATAGATGGAATTTCAGTCCTCCTGTCAACAATCTTTATTTTTCAGCCATAATAACTATGATTACGTACAAAGTAATGAACACAACAAGCCAACACATATCTTAGCTCCATAGAAACATTTCCACAAACAGCTTGTGGCGACATAGAATTAAAAAAATAATAATTAAAAAAAGAAAGAAAGAGGAATAACGGGAAACCTGAAATTGATGGGGTCAGGGGAAGAACCCATTTCGGAATAAGAAGAGCGAATAGTGAGATTGGTTGAATTACCACGTGTCCAAGTCCGAAAAGTTAAGTGGGGCTTTGGAGGGCATAGAGATGAAGATGAATGGAAAGAAAAAGAAGAAGAAGAAGAAGAAGAAGAAGAGAAAGAGAAGACAGTGGTGGAAATTGCCATCAGTGTGTCTCGCTCTGAAACCCTCTTTCTCTTCAGTTACGAAGGTTTTTCTTTGCTTCGTTATTTTTGTGTTGTGGTTGCCGCTAAAGATAATTTTGATTTTTCTTTTCTTTCATTCTCCAGAATAATTACTTCTTCTTCCTCTTTTCTCTCTCTCAAATATCCAGAGCGCAACAAATCCGCATAAATTTAAAATAACCAAGTCGACTATTAAAAATAAAAGAAGAGAAATGTCCCAATGGGATTATCCATTTATGCAAGACAAAAACAAAAATAGTGACATTCACATGCAAATATGCAATGCTATGCGTGTAGAAAAAATAATTAGAAATTTGATAGAATTTACATGCATTTAAAGGGAAGAGAAAAGTTATTCTTATAAGCTAAGGGTTCGTTTGGTGGACATGATAGAATAAGGGTAGGATATGATATGAAGCTAATAAAGGTAGGATGTGATATGGGGTTGATAAGCCGATATCATGTCCTGTGTTTGATGAACACTTCATTAGCAATATGATAAGATTATGTAGAAGGAGAAAGAAAAAAAAATATAATGTAATAAATACAAATATATTGGGTAGCGTAGGGACATATTAAGAGCTTGGGGATATATTGAGTATTCAATATTGGTATCATATCCTATTGAATTCTAACCCAGCTCCCCCATGGGATAAGAAATCATGTATTGGATAGGATAAAATGAGACAATAGAATAAGCTAATCATATCCTATTGACCCACCAAACAAGAGATAAAAGTAGGATATTATAAGTTATCCTATCTTATCTTCTTTATTAGGTGCTCCAAACAGGCCCTAAAAGTTTTACAACCTCTTACAATCTATTCTTTTATCGTTGATTTCTGTCAATTCAACGGTTATAATTTATTAAGTCACATTTATTAATCAATAATGAAAAAGTAGGTTGTAAAACTTTTTTTTTTCCTGATATAACCTGGTTGTAAAATCAGCTACTGATTCGCCTTGGTAAGCTATTGCCTCACCAACTAGCTAATCAGACGCGAGCCCCTCCTCGGGCGGATTCCTCCTTTTGCTCCTTAGCCTATGGGGTATTAGCAGTCGTTTCCAGCTGTTGTTCCCCTCCCAAGGGCAGGTTCTTACGCGTTACTCACTCGTTCGCCACTGGAAACACCACTTCCCGTCCGGAAGGCTACCTCTCATTGGAACAGTGGGTGCATTGAGTTTATCCACCAGAGGAAGGATGAGACTAATCCCCTATTCGAGAAGAAAAACACGTCCTCTGGCCCTCAAAAGATATTTCAAGAATTTGCTTAAGGCAAAGTTTGAACTCTTGACCCAAGTAAATCCTTGGGAGTTCCGTTGCTAACTGAGCTATCCTCGAGGATTGTAAAAATTTTAGGTTGTAAGAATAACACTCCTTCTAAAATTATTGTATAGGATATGGTGATAGAAACTAGTTATGCACTCAAGAGTTAGTAAAAAATGACAACTTATTTACTTACTCAGGAAATCTTAGGGCCAGTTTCAAATCTATTTTAAAAAATAATTTTTTAATTTTAAAAAAAAAATTAAAAAACTTAGTTCATAAGACCTGTTTTATAAAGATAGTTTTAAAAATTGTAATTATTTCTTATTTTTAGAATCAAATTTAGAGAATATGTCGAAATTATTTTTGTTCTGTGTTTTGACTTTTATCTTAAAAAAAATCAAAAACACATATTTCATTAACTATTTTACAAAACAGTTTTAAGAAAAAAAAATCGAAATACAATCAAACAAACCCCTAACTTTCAATCTTTTTATTTTCCGCCTCGTGAAAGAATAACATCCTAATTTCCCAAAGTGCTAACTTGAGGTTCAAATTTGAATGATCAAAGCAAGAGACCCGTCACAATCAGGGGCGGATCTACATGGGGGCTAGGGTGGAGCCCCTGCCCCCTTTAAAATATGAAAAAATGTTCTACTATATGATATGCAACATGGTCTAAAAAAGCAAAATTTTGAAAGTGCTTTTAAAAAGTGAAAGACAAGCACTACAAGAAAAAAGTTTATTTGTGACAAAAATTTTCGTCACAAATTTTGTCACAAATGACAATTTTCGACACAAATAATCAAATTTCGTCACAAATAAATTTGCGACTTAGAAATTTGTGACGAAATTTCATATGTAGTGACAAAATTTGCGACACTAATAAGATTTTTTCTTGTAGTGAAGCAATGTTATTCATAAGAAAAATGTTCCACTCGTTCATTGCACCCAATTAGAGATAACTATTATTTTCCAATCCAACCTGCCAGTATATATGACAGGTTTTGTTCTTGGTCTGTTACCCTTCCAAGTCAATGTGGCTTTTCCGTTGTATACAATGAAGAGTTCAGTTAGTAATACATATTCACTTTACCTGTCAAATTTGTCTAGAATTTGATTTTATATTGATTGATTATCTAATTTTCTTTTTATAATCATTAAAAATTTGTACATATTGCCATGTCAGAACTCAGGAGAAGAGTATTTAAGTTTTGACTTTGTTGGCAAAGAAAAAATGTCAGTAATAGTTATCAATTATTAGTTGGGACCAAATGCTAAAAATAAATAACACATTAATAAATTTACTGTGTCTTCTGCTAAATAACAGCTAAGGGAGAAAATAAAATTCTAAAGAAATCAAAGAAAGTGCAATTATAACATCAGAAGGCATGAAGGTAAACAATAAAAAATTGATCTTATAAACAAAATATAGAGCCTTAAGGCTAGTTCTTCATTGAAATAGAGGATGCATTGGATCACTGTCACCGGAAACAAAAATTGACATTCCAACCAAAAAATTGCCAAAAAATTCTATAATTTTATTAGGTTCTTCTTAATAGATATTTTTATATTCTTAGCGTGATCATCCAACTAAAACTGACATTAGTTTTTCATAATAATAATATAAATTTTCGCCCCCCGTCATATAATTTTCTGGGTCCGCCACTGGTCATGATGTGAATGCAAAAAAAAATTCTTTAGAAAAGCTACTCCCACCAAGATATGAATGTTCCCGACTCGAACAAAATTGACTTATATAGAGAACACTTGTGATTTATTAGGGAAAAAAAAAAAAAACAAGAGTCCCATCTCCTCAACAAATAAGCCAAACCTTTTGATTTCACTATATGACTTTCTATAACCACCTTACCATTATGGCCTCCATTACCCTGAATGAAATTCAAAGGAAAATATTGCGGGTGTAAAAAAAAAAGTCAATACTATTGATTATAAAAAAGAAATTTCTTCAAATCTACAGTTAGAGAAAAAAGTGAAAACAGAGACGATTGAAAGAAATTACTTCGGACAAAAGATTTGGTTAAAAAATGCACGAAATGGCTTTCTTAATAATAACATTTCAAAAAAAATATCATCAACAATATTTTTATCCCAAACTAGTTGGGATCGTGATAAATAAACCCAAAAAATGGTACATGAAAATATTGTGAAAAAAAAAAACTTTAAGAGGATGTTTGGTAGGTGAATTTTTTTGAGAATACTAGCAAAGTGGTAGATGAGATTCACAAATGACCATGTTTGGTATAGAGTAGGAAAAATTTGAATAGAAAAAAAATTTTGATGGAAAATTTTTTGTAGTGTAAAAATAAATGAAAATGCCCACTTGGAAATACCACCTTGATGGATTTCCCTAGCAAACTCAAACTTGTAGCAATTTTACACCAAAATTTTTTCGATAATATTTCTGCCTACCAAACAATTTTTTTTAAACTTTTTCAGAAAAGTCATTTTCCCACTTTTCGTACTATTTCTCCAGTAATTGTATTTTTCTGATAAATTTCTTTACACACACACTGACAGAAGAAAATAAAAAGTTAAGAAATAAAAATATAAAATAAATAGATTAAAAAAACAACATAAAAAAGGATATAGGAAAAAAGTTAAAGAAAAATACATAAATAAATAGGTAGGAGAAAAAAGATTGAAGAAAAAGTGGAATAAAAGAGAAGAAGGAAGAAGAAAGAGAGGGGAGATAAAATGGAAAAGGATTAAAAAGGGACCATTGATAAACCTTAGTTTATCATGTTTTAAAGACCAATTTTACATGAACTATCAAGTCAAAGTCTTTTTGATCCTTTTGCCCTTCATTAATTAATTAATAATCATTTTGTCCCTTATCCGAAACTATCTATCAATTTGTCCCTCTTTAATCGATTAACTTGAAGATTTAATCGATTAAATTGTCAAAACTGACAAAAATGGTTGACTTGAAGATTTAATCGATTAAATATCCCTCTTAATCGATTAAATCTCCCTCTTAATTGATTTAATCGATTAAAACTTATATTTAATCGATTAAATATACCAAATGAGCGTGAAAGCAGTGATTGATTGCGTTTTGTATTTAATAGGAGCTGATTGCATTTTATTAGGAGTTGTCATTTTACGAGTTGGTTACAGATTGTCACAAATTCAAATTTATTTGTAATTTGTAATTCTGAGCCTATTTATCAGCAACATGTCAATAAAATGAGTAAATATACCAAATGAGCGTAAAAGTATTGATTAATTGCGCTTTGCATTTAATAGGAGCTGATTGCGTTTTGTATTTAATAGGAGTTGAATGTGTTTTGTATTTAATATGAGCTGAGTGCGTTTTATTAGGAGTTGCCATTTTACGAGTTGGTTACAAATTGTCACCAATTCAAATTTATTTGTAATTTGTAATTATGAGCCTATTTATGGGCGACATTTCTATAAAATGAGTAAATATACCAAATGAGCGTGAAAACATTGATTTATTGCGTTTTGTATTTAATAGAAGCTGATTGCGTTTTATATTTAATAGGAGTTGAATGTGTTTTGTATTTAATAGGAGCAGATTGCACTTTATTAGGAGTTGTCATTTTACGAGTTGGTTACAGATTGTCACAAATTCAAATTTATTTGTAATTTGTAATTCTGAGCCTATCTATGGGCAACATTTCAATGAAATGAGTAAGAGTATACATACCAACATTTGAATTGGTGACAATATGTAACCAACTCGTAAAATGGCAACTTCTAATAAAACGCAATCAGCTCCTATTAAATACAAAACATAATCAACTCCTATTAAATACAAAATGCAATCAGCTCCTATTAAATACAAAACGCAATCAGCTTCTATTAAATACAAATCGCAATCAACTCTTGTTAACTTGCTGATTTGCTTTATATGCATAGAATTTGCTTTTGTTTATGGAGGAGATTTGACATTTATTGCCTGTTGGGAGAATTAATCGATTAAATCTTCGAGTCAACCATTTTTGCCAGTTTTGACCATTTAATCGATTAAATTTTCAAGTTAATCGATTAAAGATTGGCAGATTGGTAAATAGTTTCGAATAAGTGGCAAAATAGTTATTAATTAATTAATGAAGGGTAAAAGGGTTAAAAAGCATCAAGTCAAATGCATAAGAATTAGGGTTTATTAGTGGAAAGACATGAACTATTGAAATATGAATTAAATAATTAGTTTTTGCTTATTTTGAATGTTAATGACATTAAATGAGAGCAAAAATGAAGTTTAAAGACTTGAGTTCAAAACTTGAAGATCATGAAAGACCAGCGGCGGACCTAGGCGGGTGCAAGTGTGTGCAAGTGCACACACAAATTTTTTGAAAAAAATAAAGAATAAAATATATTTTGGGTCATAAAAAAAAAATCACAAGAACCAATTTAATCTCTTAAAAAAAAGTTGACTCGTGATCCTTTTAAATTCCAAAATAAACCCATGTTAGTTCTTTTGAGGGATTAATGCGAGTCTTTTTGAATTTCTGAAGATCATGATTTTGATTATCTGGATCTATTTTTGAATTCTGGGGATCACGAGTAGACTTTTTTTCCCTAAGAGATTAAATTGAGGCTCGTAATTTTTGTTGATGACCCAAAATATTGTATTATAACCGTTTAGTTGACTTTTGATTACTTTTTTTATATTAAGTTAAAGTTTTTTTTTATTTTTTTTTTTATATTTTTTTGTATTTTAATATATTTGAAATTTTCTTTAAAATTTTTTCCCTTTATTCTAAACGTGCAGACATTAAAAAAAAATTCTAGGTCTACTATTGTGAAAGACCCCAAGTGCAAATAGAAGAGGTTACAATTTTTGAAGAGGAGGCTTAAGCTCCCGATACGGAGCTTAAGCGCCCAAGTTACAACATAAAAAGTGAAAAAAATTTGTAAGAGCGCGCTTAAGCGCCCTGGAGAGGGCTTAACGCGCTGCCATATAAAAAAATTCCTCTTCGAAGAGAGGTCTAAAGGGCCCTCATATGGATCTGTCTCACTGTCCCAGAGCGCTTAAGCGCCCATCACGGTCCAACTTAGGCCCATTTGATTGTTTCCACCTAGGGCACAGATTCTTCAACTATTAGAGGAAAATTGAGACAGAATTCATTATCGATTGATCAACCTTGGAGATCTGAAGCAGAGGAGGAGTATAGCTCATGATCTTGAGCATCGGAGACTGATCGGAATCAAGTTTGCACTGGGAACCTTGAAGATTCATCACACTATTATGGAGTTTGGGGAGATTTATTATTTTCTTTCATTATTGATTCTATTATGTCAGGCTATGTTTTATAGTAGTTAGGGTTAGATGGAACTCAGTTGATCTTTTATGTTTTAAATAAATTCTTGATGTTATTCTTTCTTTTTATTTTGAATGAAGTTATCTTTTCTTAATGTTTTCTATGAGCTTGATTCTTGTAGATTGATCTTAGGTAAATGCATGACAATATGAATGTTGGTGCATGATCCGCACATGATAGACATAAGGCTTTACGCAATCTTGTGATTCTTGGGATAAACATAGGCCTTTATGCAATCTTGTGATTCTTGAATGTAATGCTTATTTTCTTAAGGAATAACCAGGGAACGAGGGTTCTTGCAAGATTATAAAGATATAGGGTGTCAGGAATTGAATCCTATTTAAATTAATAAAATCAATTGGCTTTATATTAAGGACGAATAATTTGAAAGAGTAAATTCAAAATATAATGGGGAGATTGGGGGAAGTTAAAACCCTAGCTACGTTTCTTTTCTGTCATGTAATCAAAACTTTTACGTTCTTGTTCTTATTTTAATTATTTTTAATATTCTGAATACCAACCAAATTGAATTACATAATTAATTTTGATAGTCCAACTTAAGCGGAAGTAGTGAATTAGTGATTGAATTATAATCCTCGTGAGAACGATCTAGTACTCAATACACTTTATTACTTGTACGATCTGTTCACTTGCCGAAGTCGCAACAACCGTCTGGAACATAGGAATAAAAACGGGTCTAACCCTCCACCATGCTTATAGCTTTTCTCCACTCCGTCCAAAGATACTTCATCCGCCAAACTATATCTCACTCCATTAAGTCTTGTTTTACTACATTCCCTCAAGTAAGTTTCAGTATATTTCTACCTCTCTTTACGTCAAACTCTTGGTAATAGACTTTTGTTCTTACAGAAGCATCCAAGGGCCTTCTCATTACGTGCCCAAACCACCCAATCTATGCTCTCTTATATTTTCCACCTCTGATACTACTTCCATCTTTCGTCGAATATCTTCGTTTCTTATCTTATCTAACCTCGTATAACTACACATCCACCTTAACATCCTCATTTTCACTACTCTCATTTTATGCTTATGTTGTTTATGTGCTGGTCAACATTCAGCTCCATATAACATTGCAGACCTTACAATTGTTCTATAGAATTTTCCTTTTTGGTTAAGGGGAATTTGTTGGTCACACAAAAATTCAGATGCACTACGTCATTTCATCCATTTTACTCTGATTCTATGATTTTCATCCTCATCAATCTCTCCACCTTTTTTGCAAAACTGATCCTAAATATCTGAAAGTATCTTTATTTTTTGTTTAAAAAAGAAAAGAAAAGATACAAGCGGATAAAATTATATTTCAATACTTTACCCAAAAAATACTGTAATTCAATACAACAAAGTTATGAATTTTAGAATGCACATGGCCAGAATAAGTCTTTTCACGTGTGAGATTGATGATCTTAATCATACACAAACAAATTAATAATGAGAAGACCTATATTTTTATTTTATTTTTTTGTTTCATTGAAATCAATTTAATTCGATTCGAGTATGGCAACACTTTCAATCAGTGTTTTAAAACCCGGCTCGGACCGGCCGGGTCGACCCGGGACTCGGTGACCCGATGGGTTCCCCGGTCCGAGCGGGTAGTTGGACCGCTTCTGCAGTCAACCCGGATTGGACCGGTTGACCCAGCCGAAACCCGGCGACCCGGTGACTCGGTTGACCCGGGTTAGACCGGTTATTCCTTCTTCTTTTTTGGTAAAATTTTTTTGTTGATAAGAACTGTTGAATTAAATCATATTCATATTTTATGATGAATATGATTAAAAGTAAGGTGAAAATAATAAGGTATTTTAGATTAGTGCAGTTCGTTTATGTAATTTAGTTGCATCTTATAATGATCTCATGAAGTTAAGTGGTGATAAACACTGATGGTTTCATGATCTCATCTCAACAGTGGACACTTTTTTTTTTTAGTGTATATTTCATGCATACTATTTGCTATCATGATAACGGTGACACTTTTAGTGTATATTTCACGCATACTATTTGTTATCATCATTTAATTTATCCGTATCATGTCAAGCACAAAAGGAGCATTTAACTTATATTGCAATTTTAATCTAATATTAGGGTATGGTCTAGAGCTAGAAGCTTAGAAATATATAATATTTGCTATCATTGAAAATCAATTTATTTTTTGAAGCTCATTGATAATTTTCTTATGTGAATTTTTATTAATATAAGTAATATTTTTATATTTTTATATTTTTAATATGTGAACAGTAAATCCGGTTCAATTCGGTTGAATCCGATTGAACCAGTAACCCAGTACCTCAACCGGTTTGATGACTGGTCCGAGTTTTAAAAAACTGCTTTCAATACCATTTACTCCATTCTCATTGATTAAATGAACAAACTTACGGTTATTGGTTGAGATGACCTCTTCTAAAAAATTATAAAGCTCTACATCACATAACTGACATTTCAACTCAATCGTACCGGGCCTTTAATTAGGCCAAATGGACAAAGTCAAGCACCTAATCCACACGAAGCCCCGACCCGACACCCGAGTCCAGCCTATGCAAACCATGTAGTAATAGAAGCACGTATTTGAACAAAACTTCAATTGCAATTTTTAATCTGTAACTGCTGTATAAGTTAGCTAATGACAATGTTAAAGTGAAAAAAAAAAAAAAAAAAATATTAGAATTTTTGTGTGCCCTGTGGCCTGATTCCACCAGAACCACATTAAATTAGAGGCATACCAAAAATGTAAATGTACAAATTCCTGGAACGTGTGAAATCTAAGGCCTTAACACACAACTATAAGTTTCCACCTTCACCAAGCAAAGCCATAAGGACCCTGGATAACGTGCAAAATCTCTCATAAAGCCATAAGTTACTCGGTTATTCAGCACCAACAAAACCATGGCATTGTGCTAAAGCCTAACGGGCAATCCAAAGTTGTGGAATGTCTTGATAGTTCCATCACAACTAGCTGCCACAATTGATACTCCCCATGTTTCTGATAAACTTGTGTCATGGTAAGTATCTGTGTAACATAACTGTCGGTGATCATATTCATCTTCTGCAAGAGGTAAATCCAAGATGGGAAGTTTCTCCTCGGGCCATGTCATGGAACCTCTGGATGTACCATCAGTGGAGAACCAATTACCAAGAGAAAAACGTTCTGAGTCTCCTCTACCTTCAGAAGCAACCTCTAGTTTGGTTTGCATATTTGAAGAACAGTGGGAAAAGTTACTGCTAGAGCCCCTTTGATCTGCTTTCATGCCTGACCAAGGTATTGCAACAGTAACATCCTTGGAGAAAAAGTACTCACATGAGTAATCAGATTTTATCTGTTTGGAAGAAGCATGCCCCAAGTCATTGAAGTTCCAAATATACACATGGGAGTCTTCTCCAACCGAAATTATATGTTTCCCACTTGATGTAAATGAACCAGACATCTGACTTCCTGACTTAGAAAGTCCTGTAAGAAGTAGTAAACTTAACTGATTGAGAATTTTTCATGCAAGCCAATCAATAAGCATATACATAGTGGAAACCAATACTATCTTAAATTTATTAATGTTCCAGTGGATACACAGTTATATACATATGCCATACTATCTATTAACTAATCAAACAATGATATGACAAAACTGATTTAAAGGTACAAATATAAAAAACAGAATGAAGATAGACATTAACAGAATTACAGAGGCTGAACCTTATATTATCGAATATAAATCAATAAAACCTCTGGATACAACAAAAAATGTTACACCTAAAAAGTTATTAGATGTTTTTAATTATTTAAAAAATATGACAAAGCCTATCATCATGCCAAGGTAACAAACAAACCACAAAAAATATGCTAATATAAAATATTCTATTTATGCCAATAACACGATTTCAATTAAGATAACAAGACACAAATTATTCTCCCATTAATGACTCAACAGTCAACACTGTATCGTACCTCTGTATTTTTGAACAAGCTCAATGCCATCAAATATGCGAATTTTGGAGTCTTCTGATGTGACCATAATTCTCTGAGAGTTTTTTTGGCAGAACTGCAATGGATCAAGGGTGTTAAAATGTTAATAGATGAAGTACAAAGCATTTTAGAAGTAAATAATTTCTAGATTGAAACCTGAATGCCAGTAATCTTGTTTCCTGATGCTTTCTTCTTTCCATGGACATCTATCTGTGCCTCCAGCTGGAAAATGTTTCCTAAATCATTAGAAATCCAAGTTAGACACTTCTTTTGATTTGAAGTCCCTTTGTTTTATCTTTTGTAAGGAGGGTTCATGACTAGAGTAACTGGTAAACCACAAGTACATACCTGAAGCAACATAAAAGCGACAAGTGCCTGTTATAGAACCAACTACAAATCCCTGCATGTGTAATAGACAAAAGTTGATCAATCTCATGGACACAAGTTTCCAGAGTCAAAATATGTAAAAACACAAAATCATGAAAAGATTCAGTCAAGTATTCATGGCATACTTTCCCATCTTGCTGATAACTTATAGCACTTATGATATCTCGAACATCTGCCCAGTCAACAACTCGCTCTTCATGTATCCCCCATATTCGAACTTTACCATCAATGGACCCACTGATGAAGTAATTTTCATCAACAGGGTTGAATTGGATGCATGTCACTGCTTCCATTAAAAGTAGAGACATGGTAATGTTTCAAATTATGAGTATGAACAAGCATATGCTTCAAAAAAAAATTTAACAAATTAAAACTATGGTTATGAGAAATATTACCATAGTCATTGTGATGGAAAACACTTAAACATTTGTCACAACCAATTTTCCACAACCTGACCGTTTTATCCATAGACGATGAGAGGAGAATCTGCAACAAGTATTTATATCAGCTCAAAGAAAACAAAAATTGCAAGCAGAGCAAACAGAACAGAACAGATTGCAGGATTGGAGTGGGGGGAATAACAAGCTTCTGCAAGTTAAACTCACATCAGAATTAGACCAAGCCAAATCCAAGACATCACTGGAATGACCAAAAAATTCTTGCAGAGGTGATTCCTCAATTTGAAAAATATTATTTGGAAGGAAAATGAAGGATTGGCTTGAGTTTTTCTTCCAACGACAAGAGTTGTCATGTTTCACTTTGCTAGCAGTACAGTCATCTACGGTGAAACAATTACTGGATGTATCCAGTAACATAACACGCCATATGCGCACAACACCATCTTCACCTCCACTTGCTAAATACTTACCATTGGGACTAAATTTCATAGTCCAGATTAGGCCTTTGTGCGCTCGAATCTCTTGTCCATTGTATAGCCCACTGAACTCCAGCCACTTCTTATTATACTGTCTTACCTTTATTCTACGAGTTTTATTTGTCCCTGTATTGAATTTTGGTCTAACTATTCCTTTAACACCTTTCCTTATGTTGTTTACAAAGCGCTTCCACCAGTTTTTCCTTTTCTTTTTACTATTATCAAAATCCTGAAACTCCTCTTGGGCCTCAGTTTCTGTGTGTCCGAGCTCATGCATTTTCCCTTGAAAATTTGCATCTGGTTCATCTTGGGGACACCCTCTCAGTTCATCCAACAAGACTTTATGAACAGAAGCTGCTTTCTCAGATACTTGTTCATTAGGCGAAATGCAAGAATTTGAGACTGCTCCACTGCATTCCCTGATCCTCTCCAGTCCCGAGTTCATGGATGAGTCACCAAAGCTCATCATTTTCTTCTGTGAACAAACCTTTGAAGAAGTATCAGCTAAACCCATATCTTGCAGAAAACGTTCCCGTCTGTCCTTCACGCTAACAGGTTCATTCACCCAAATATCATAATTATCACAACCACGCCTATCAGAACCAAACTCTTCTTTGACCAAACTAAAATCTTGAGCTGGCAAACTATCCACTGAATCGAAGAATACATCAATATCTTCATCATCAGAGGTCAGCATATCTTATACAGTAGAGACAAACCTTCCACATGAAAATCTCACTTCAAAAGTTCCAACTCTCCCCCCCAGTATCAATCCACAACTTTTCAACACCTTAAAATTGGGAATTCCCAATAAAGGCGCCAACTTTCTCTCGCCAATTATGCAAAAACCAATAGAATATTAAATGTTACAAGTGAGAAACATGGGCTAAGTGCGAGGAACCAACCAACCACCAATGATAACAGTTTATTTGCATGTTGGAAACCTCCCAACACTAAAAGAATACTAATTAACAATTCCACAAACCCAAATAGACTATATAGAATAATCAAATACAAAGAAGAAACGAAGGCCAAGCTTTGAGTTCAAAAAGTGAAGACTATACCAGGCTCATATGTCGTTGTCAAGTCAAACAATACCAAAATTCAACATGATCACCGACCCTCCAGTTATCACGGCCCTATCCACCACACCAACCACCAAATATAAAACAAAACCCAAAGCAAAGCTCTTCAACAAGTGCTCTGCATTGAACCCAACAACAGCAGCTAAATGGCCGGCCAAAAACCAAACCACCTTAGGTTACAAATGTCTGTGAATGACTGAGACCCCTCTAGATCTAGATTTTAGGATTGAAGATTGCCAAAGCACACGAGCGGCGCTAGTGTTCTGCCTCTGAAAAAATTGTAACTCCCTATCTTTTCTTGCCTTTACATGCTTCGTAATTATCGCCTATAATCTGTGACATCAGATTAACATTATATTCAGAAACTGAAAAAAAAAAAAAAAAAAAAAGGCAAGATTTTTTAAAATTTGTTTCCATTTCCAGAGAATAATTTTATTATTCCAAATGTAGACAAAGTTGATCAAACGTACGTTATGGACGGCCCCGACTCCCCAATAAATCAAAAATTGAAAATCAGATAGAGAAGAGAGAGAATTATCAATCATCGTTTCTGGGACAAGCACTTGCTGCAAAAGCTCTCAACTTTAAGCTAGTCTATGCTGTTTTCTGGGAATTGAAAGCTACGAGCTAAAAGTGGCATTGATTGATTACTAACAAAGCGTTATTGTTTTAAGAAGCATTGATTGCTATTACAGCACTAGTAGACACAACTACAGATAAGGAAGAGAGATATGTATATATTGTTGAGAAGATGAAAGCGATAACTCGCAACTCTAAGGTCCATTAGGGGGTCCTAGGTGCCCACTTTGGACCCTGTAGGCCTTCCTTATTACAGCTACACACCCACCATTCCTCTGCATTGCAGTTCACATTTCAATTTTCTTGGGCTTCGTTTTTTCAGTGTATGTTTTTGCTTGCACCATTAATGAGGAGGGCTTGATGGTATTCTTGTAGTGAACCTAGCTTTTTAGGTTATAGGCTCTATCTACTACATCTCATAGCCCCCTCTCTTATGCCTATTTGGGTATGTTATGTTTTTTAATTTTTTTTTTTTAGTTTTTCATATTATTATGTAAATGGAGGAACAAGGAGAAAGAAAAAGTTGACAAGAGACTTGTTTAAAGACAAAGGAATGGTATATTGTTATGCTTTTTCAGTACCTTGTTGTTGGCTTCATATATCAATGACATAAAAAGGTTGCCACTTTCTATCACCCACAGGTATTAGTTCTTGGAAGGCCAATCTTGATTTCACTCTCTCTGCTGCACAAGGAGTTTTTTTTTTTCAGAAATGAAAAAAAAAAGCTTTTCTTTTTCTTTTTTTCAAAATTGAGTTTGCCCTTGTTGGTGAGGAACAAACCGCAAGAAGAAACTCACATGATCCAATTGAAACGACAGAAGAGTGTGGATGGCGGGGACCCGAGGTGGTGTACTGCAGAAGAAGGTTAAAGGGAAGAGAGAAGGTGGTGGTGGTGGTGGATGACATGTGTTTGATGGAAGAAAAGAAGAAGAAGAAGAAAAAAAATAAAAAAAATATGATGAGATAGATCATAGTCTATACATCATTATTAGCACTTAGCATCCATCGAAGCTTCCAAAAACCTCCACTGTCACACTCTTCTAGTCACCGTTTCAATGTCCCCTCACGCATTTACACCCCTTTATTTCACGTCAATTTTCTGTGCAAATTCGAGAGAGTTCATTGTTACCTGGTTGCATTACAAGTGATAGCCTCTCACAGTTTACTGAGATATCTCCACTTGAATCCTCGCAGCTAAGGAAGAAAAAAAAATCCCACCATTGCACAATAGATTATTAAGGTGTGTTTGTTAATGTAATCTTGAAATATTACTGCGCATTTGAAAGTGGATAAATAGTTTCTTCATATTTGGTAGAGGTTATTTAAAAATTTATCTAGCTAACCTATTTGCTTAGTAATTGAACTTTGTATGCAAAATTGGACCAAAAATATGGTGTTCAAATGCTATTTGGAGGGTGATATTTGAGTGATAGCTAGTTAAGTGAAAAAAGTGAACACGAGATATGTCAAAATTATCTTTCGATGACTTCAACATTAGTTCTTATTATGGTTATTTTGTAAAGCCTTGTTATTTTGTAATTTCAGTTTGGTTTCCCATCAATATTTTATCTTCAACTAAATATAGATTCAGAAATTTCACTCAATTTTTCCAATAATATTTTGTCCAATCAAATAACTTTTTTTTTTAACTTATTTTATCTAATTCACTTTTCCTGGAGATCCCTAGTAATCACATTTCCTTATAAAATTTTGTTTTTACCTATACCAAACGCACCTTAATGTTTCTGATGATGGAATAATACACACTCAAACTTCGGTTATTGATCTAAAAATAGTGTATAAAGCATGGGAGTGGATCCTCGTTTATTTAACATATTTATATAATCTAAGAGGATGAAAGGGCAAATTAATGGTGACAAGAGATGGAAAATTACAAAATCATTATCAATGATTTGTTCATATTGATGATTAGGATTCCCCGTAAAAAAAATTGAGAGAATCTATTTCCATAAAACGTGATATTCATCTACCACCTTCATCTTTATTCATATGAAAATAGGGTTAGGATATTCTAACAACTAATTAGTGTTATTATTAATCAATCTCACCGTTAGATTGATTATATCGATCCAACGGTTATATTATTTCTATCTTTGTATGGTTATTATTCCCTATATTTAATGTGAAAGCATTAAATATGACAAATCATAACCATACAAAGGTGAAAATAAATATAAAATATTAAATATGGAGAATCATAACCATACAAAAATGAAAATAAATATAACCGTTAGATCAACATAATCGATCTAACGGTGAAATTGATTGGTAATAACATTGATAGTAATAGGGGTGTTCGCGGTCTGGATTGGATCGGTTTTGGAAGCAAAAATATCCGATCCAATCCCTTCGGTTTGATCATATAATCGTCCATTCGGTTTTGATTTTTTTTCAAATCAGATCCGATCCAATCCAATTTTTTTCGGTTTGGATTGAATCGGTTTTCGATTTTTGGAAAATCCTAAAATTTATTTCATTATTATTGTGCAAATAACATCTTTTGTATATATCGGCTTTGTAATTTTTTTTTTTAAATACAAAAGCATTAGTAAACTATAATATAATTTTTTTAATTTTGGCAATGAGTATGAAGCTCTACAAAGATAAAATTTTGTTGATGAGATATGACTAGATTTTTTCTTGGGTTTAATTGATGGGTTAATGGATCTTGGGTTTAGAAAATTTTAAGCTAGGATTAAGAAAATACCCAAGTAGGTATAGGGAAATTAATATATTGGATCGGTTTTCATCAACCCATCCAAAAACCGATCCAATCCAATTAAAATTTGCGGTTTTTAATCGGTTTTAGGTTTTTCGGTTATCGATTTTTCGGTTCGGTCACCGCGGTTTGAATCGGTTTGGATCGGTTGATGAACACCCCTAGATAGTAACACTAATTAGTTGTTACAATATCCTTCCCATGAAAATTAACATAAATAAAAATAAATAAAATAAAAAATACTGTCAGTATAATCCTTTTTATTTTCTAAAATAATTTTGAAATTAATTTGATTTATTAATTATAAATAATAACACTATTTCGGCTTAGACTAATATTTATTTTTTACCAAAATAGTACATGTTGAAGGGTTCGCTTTTTTCTGTAGTAAGCCAATACGACGTCGTTTTGGGGCAGAAATCATAGTATTTTTGTAATTTTAATTTATTTCAGGGTTATAATGATGGTTCGAAAGACTGCACCATAGTCATACTATGGTGCACATACATGGGTGGAAAACAAAAAAAAAAAAATTTCACAGCGGAAGCATAGACCATCTATACACCCCATGTATGAATGCTTTACGTTGAAACGATAGGGTTTCAGAATTACCTTTTCACTCGTAGGCGCAAAAGGATGACGCCCTCCAATGGTGATCCACACGGTTATCTCCTTCTTGCTAGCGAGAACTCTTTCTCCTTGATCCCTCCTTATCCTCGGTGGCTGGCTAGGCGCATGCAAGGAAGAGGCTACCAAGTGTTTGGATTATTTTTCTCAAGACTATAATGGTGTCTTGAGGTTAGGTGATGGTGCAACAAAAGAGAGAGAAGGAAAGGTTGGAGCTTTTTCTTTTTCGAATTCTACACACACATAGGAGAGATGATGCATCAGGTTTTTATAAAAAAACTGATCAACCACATACCTCCTATGATTAGGCGCACAAGTTAAAGTGATGAGAGAGACTTTCCTTGATTCTCTCCATCTCATTATGCACCCCACATCAGCTCCCTTTAATTAGGCGCACATATTGAATGATGAGAGGGACGTTCCTTGATTCACTCCCTTTAATTATGCGCCCCTTTAATACCTTTCCTTTTCTCAGAAATTTTGTTGCATCAGTATTCATTTTGAGAGAATCTCCATCCAATCTCTATTGGATTATTCCTTTAAATAATATTAAATTATTTTCAACAACCTAACCTCATAGAATTTAAAATTCCAATTCAAATTTCAAATTCCAATTTGAAATTTAAACTCAAATATAAATTCTTTTTATCCCAGTTCATAATTCGAATTCGAATTCGAAATTCAAATTCAAATTTGCACAAACATTATTTTGGTCAAGTCAACTCTTTGACTTACTAGGATTTATGCCCCGAGGCCTCTTTGGCCTACCATCATATTTGGACCCATTAGTGGAGAAAACTCTTTCACCACTAATGCCCAAAAAGGGCGCATGGTTCAAGTGGGCTTGGAGTCCCTACTCCAACCCAACTTAACTCATAGTCTTGACAAAGCCCAATAACTCACTATTGGTCCAAACTTGCTATAACTTGCAATAAAGAATAACCTTTGTGTGTGACCCATTAGGCCCAATTAGTTACTGACATAAATAAACTTGAACCATTTAAACTCCTTTAAAAGGCCCAATCCATTTAATGACTACATGATACACTAGCAATGCTCTGTAGCCCCAGAACTAATTGAGTTGATCAAGTGATCTACCTTTCTGATTTGGATACCGTGCCAGCATTATCCCTCACGCCATTCACATTTAGTCGAGAGCAAGGATAGAGTATCATATCTCTTTATTGGCTAAATATAATAGTTCACAGGAACAACGGTCTTTGTGAATGACTAATCCCTTATAGGGGATTGTGAGTCCTTTCGGCATGTCCATCTATACTCATGTATTCGAGTTATACCCAAGAGTACACTGTTCTCCCCATTTTTCAGGTGGATAGAGTTGTACAGTCAAAGTATAACTCTAGGACATAGTATTCGATGACATCCTAAAGTCTAGGACGATCCGCACTACCAAACGTTCAGAGACTTTTCAAATCCAATGATACTCTCTATAATGAATCCTTGTGGAGTCTCTAAGCGGGTCAGTTCAGTGCTATATGTTCTCCAACAGATCCACCCACGACATCAGCTAAGGCATCAGCATGCCTGCATTCCACGAGGTCCTTACCTTGTATCTCCATACAAGTAGATGATGTCGTACTAGTCTTATTGAAATCACCAATACCCTTTCTTGGTGATTCAAGACCAGGAACAGATTTAAGGTAATAGACATTCAGTATCCTCGAGTCCTCATGATCATGATCCCTATCATAGATCCCCGAGTGAACACCTACTCTATTCCTAGGGTCTTTATCTTTAAACGCATATTAACAATAAAATATTGGCGAGACATAAATATAATAAAGATAAAGTTTGCTCAAATTTATTAATCATGATATACCAAATAGAAAAAGGTGTTCATCTGATAAAACAGATTGTCTCTAGGACACCTATATACTAACATATAATAGTCTTTATATTTATAAATTTTTAAGATTTCAATACCAAAATGGCGTCGATTTGAGAATAAATGCAGATAACTTATCTGCATTAACTGCAAAAACATTTTTCCCATTATTAAATGGGAAAACTTCATTTTCACCCCTTGTAATTATATGATGTATCACTTAACCACGTGTGGTTTCATGTATCATTCACATTCATTATAGGAAAATAAATTTATCATTTAATCCCTCGTATAAGTAAATAGTGTAATTTGTAAAATTTTAAAAAAAAAAAGTTTATAAACGGATCATTCCCCATATATATATATATATGGGGAGGGTTATATTTACGAATTTTTTGTTTACAAACTATACTATGTTCTCCCGGAAGAACACTAGGTTACACTTAGTTCTCCCGGGAAATTGCAAAAATTTATAAAAAAAGTTTGTAAACGGATCCTTCCCATAAGGTTCGCTTTTTCTGCAGTCATTGCATATAAGTTATCTGCAGTAAGTCCAATACGACATCGTTTTGGGGCAGAAATCATGGTATTTTTGTAATTTTAATTTATTTCAGGGTTATTCTAGTCTTTATAATTATAATTTTTTAATATTTCAATCCCAAAACGACGTCATTTTGGGAGTAA